ATGCCTACTACAAATATTTGCTGTTCAAGTAACTGCTGTGGAATTTTTATATGCATACTTAGCTCTGAAGATTTTTCTTTTGGTAGGCTGCTCACTTTGTTTTCATCAAACAATGACAATTTCTATGTGACCAATGAAATGTCTGAAATTATCCATTTCATAATCTTCCTGTGAATATACTCTACAGACCAAAGATGACCCTACTTCTACGTTTAATAAAGACAACATGGTTCAGACTGTAGTTGATCTTTTGCTGGGAGGGACAGAAACAACAAGTACCACCCTTCTCTGGGCACTGCTCTATATGGTACAATACCCAGAAATACAAGGTGAGCAAAAGCATTATCAGACAGAACTGCATTCAACATTACATCGTAATGAATGTCATTAAAGTGTAAGTAATAGCTCAATCACTTGCAATACATCAAAATAACCCTTAACATGAATATGAATGTGGTACATCAACAACTGACATTTAGAAAATGTAAGTTTAATAAATGAAACAAACATGCGCTTTCCCCAACAGTTCACTAAGAAGCAACACAAGCAGAAATTAGCAGTAGCCACTGTTTTATCTCACTAAAAGGGGATGGCAAAGACAGAATAACAAGCTAAAGACATTTCATATGCAACCTAGTCTCTTCCTAACCTTCAAAGTGGAAAAACTTAAAAAGATACCTGGTCTGATGTGTATTTATAAACCTAACAGAAATTACACCTGTAATTTCAACTTTCCATCCTTTTTTTGAAACATAGAACCGTAATACCCTCATCACCAAGTGGGATGCGTCTTAAATATCTCATGCTTTGGGGATATGCACTTTCTTGACCAACTGAAAGCAACACAGCAGTCAAACCACATGCCAACACATCTGATAGCAACGTCATTTCTTCTCTTCCCCAGTCCTGGACCATACTTGTACAGAAATCTCCTGGAAAAAAAAAGGGAAAAGGTTAAAATATTTTTATTTCTCTGCAGAAAAGGTTCAAAGAGAGATAAAAACTGTTCTGGAACCCTCCCATCTCATCAGCTATGAAGACCGTAAGAAACTGCCATATACAAATGCTGTGATTCATGAGGCTTTGCGGTTTAGCAATGTTACTTCTGTTGGAGTCCCTCGACAATGTGTGAGGAATACAACTTTGCTGGGTTTTCACATTAAAAAGGTACAGAGTATACCTCCATGTTTATTAAAGCTTTGAGCTATTAATATTTAGTATTCATATAACATTAGCTTCTAAAATCCTTAACATTACATAGAGAGCATGTGGTAGCATGTCACAGGCATGAAACAAAGCCAAGTACTCTGAACCAGGGCTAAGTCTGCATTAGCAGATGCAAAAGGAAACTTGGGAAAAGGCTAACACAAGCAGCAAACAAACATAAGGCAAACCGAAGCCTTTCTTCCCACTACTCAAATATGGGTGATGTGTGGGAATCAAAGCAGAACGTGTGTTTTAAGGAATGATGAAGAAATTAGGTTTAATAAGTATCAAGCCAGCTAAATTTCACACATAAGGGAGCAGCCTGGGGCAAACTATAGTTATCCCTGACAAAATAAACACACACACACACACCCCTCCCACACACTTATGATGATGTCAGCTCAGTACAGTGAGAGATCCAACAGTCACATTGGCATGATATAGATGTCCCAACTGTGTTAAGTATAAAATCAATGTGATGGAATTGAAAGATCCAGTGAAGAGTACAAAAAACAAAAAGGTGTTAGTGATTAATCTAGCAAATATATAAAATAATCCAAGCTCCACACCAGCTTAGACATGAAGACATTTCAGTAGTCCTGACAGAAGATAACTTAGACAAACACGTAATATGTTACGACATACAGAAGATACAGGGGTTTGTTATGCCTGGATGTGCGTTGGAAAAGACCAAGTTGAATCCAAACACTGGCCTGCAGGCATATTATCTATTAGAGAGAAGGAAAGTCCAAAAAAAAAAAAAAAAAAAAAAAAAAATCAATCATACGTGGAAAATATAATTTCTGCTTCTTCTTGCAGGGCACACTCGTATTGCCAAATCTGCACTCTGTTGTGTATGACTCTGAGCACTGGGCTACCCCTTGGAAGTTCAACCCAAATCATTTCCTTGATTTGGATGGCAACTTTGTGAACAAAGAGGCATTCTTACCTTTCTCAGCAGGTAACACCCTGATGCTTGAATACTCTTCTTCACTGGGTCTTGCAGCAAGAATAAAACCATCATTTCTATATTCTAAAATTTTAGAAAGATGCTTTTTTAAAAACATATTTGACACAAAGATTTGGAGTCAGGTGTTCTACTCTAAAAGCCACAAATACTGTCTTGCATTGTATATTTTTTGTACATTGAAGCAAAAGATGAGTATGGCTAAGAAACATAAAGCTCTCTCCTTGGTATATGTATAGTTCCTACTATAAAGGTATCTGAGCTCCTTAGTTCCTAATGTATTAAATCCTGATAACATCCTCAAATCAGAAAACCCATTTATTCTCACCTTACAAAGAGGGAACTCAGAGACAAAAATAATTTGATTTGTCAAAATATACAGAGAAAATCTGTGATAAAGCAGGAAACCAAACCTCAGTCTCCCAAATCCTACAGTAATAGTCTAACACCAGATTCTATTGCATCACCAGAAAACTAGCAAAATTTAGTCTTTTCAGTAAAATATTATTAGGCAGCCAAAAAAGATTCTAATTTTTCAAAACCATATTATGATGTATAACTTACCTAGTTTATAATGCAAAATTCAGCAATACAAAGACATGGAAAAGTAAAAAAAGAATGAAAACACTGAGAAACAGCTGAGGGGTTTTATGCTACTGTGTCAGATTATACTATTATACATTTACTGTAGATTAAAAAAGCAAATAGCATACTAAGTAATGTACAAAGCAGTCAGATTAAGCATAGTAAATCCAGATTTTAAAACCGTTTGCCCAAATTACGTATAAATCCTAAAACTGTATTTGCAAGACAGGTACTTAATATCTTACTTCATTTACTCATCAAATGCCCACCAGACTACATGAATCGAGACAACTAATTTAGGATACCATTTCAATCCAGCACAGGAAATTTTCTTTCTTAACGTGGTTGTTTTTCTGTTTACATAATCTGAGTATTTATATACCCTGAATAGATTTTTTTTTTTTTTTTTAACTCTGGAATATATAGATAGATACCCTGAAATATACTGTGAAAACAATATGCCAAAATGAGTCACTGAGTCTATACATCACTGCACATACCTACGTTTCATTCCTTTAGTTTGGATATCTGTTCCTGGACAGTGTTAGAGAAAAGATACTGGGCTACAAGGACCCAATATAGCTGCCTTAATTTCTGTTGAAGACAGCCTGATTAAATCCTTCTGCTTAGCTTTAGAATTGCATCTTGCAATACTCCAGTCCTCCCTCATCAACAACCAAAGATAAGACTCTGAAGTACATGAAGCCTTTTAAAGTCTCATTTAACTGAGAAGCAATTAATGGTTCTCGCAGAACACAAAGCAAAAATGGAAAGGGAAAACCTCATACATGCTTTAGGGGGAAGAAATAAAAACAAACCCCCCAAAACCAAACAAAAAACCCCACCCAAACAGCTGACAGAGATGTATAGTTTCTGTTAAATACATGTTTCACCCCCCACCTCCAAAGGCATCTTCTATCCTTACAGAAGGAATAGGAAATAATTATCTTGCATTAAGAGAATTTATGGAACTCAGTAGAATTTTGTTTGAAGTTCCTTTTCAGAACTTAGCTTTATACAACTAACTTCTTTTTCCCCTTCCTTGTACAGGGCACCGTGTATGTTTGGGGGAACAGATGGCACGAGTTGAACTGTTCATCTTCTTTACCAACCTGCTTCGGGCATTCAGATTCCAGCTCCCTGAGGGAGTAAAGGAAATCAATTTGGAATACATTTTGGGTGCAATACTGCAGCCACATCCATATAAACTCTGTGCTATTCCACACTAGTCTGCAACATACTACAGTGCAGAGGGACTTCAACCAGTCAATAATTGCAGATACTTTAAAAATACATATTACCATCTCAATTGTATTTAGATGTAGATAGCTCAGTATAGCAAATTAATATAGAGCATTTTTATTTAGGAGGCCTGACCTCATATAGTTGAGCTTCCTGAAAATAAAATAGGTGTACTTGCAGAATCTCATATAATCGTATCTTAGACATACACAAGTACACAATAATATGTTAGCAAAAAAAAAAAAAAAAAAAAAGTATTTTCACATTCACTGTAGCAACGAATTAGATGCAAGGCTTTAGAGAAGTGATATGTACCTAGCAAGAGTTTCCTGCATATGTGCTCAGTCAGGTATCACACTCTTAAAATGGCACAACTGTTTTGATGCAGCAAGGACACCTGAATAAAAAAAAAATTTCTTCAGTATGCTGTTACTGCTGTGTGTTCACAGCTCTTTTCTTCATCCTTTTGCAGAAGGTAGCAGAGTATGCACACCTAGCGATGGCTCCTTTCCCTTTCACACTCCCTTGAATCATTGTATATTGCAGTATAAACTTCACACATGCATAAATGACTGCAGAATGGGGCCTCTTATAACCATAATCCATTTAGAAATCCTTACACCTTCTTTCTTTATTTCCTCAGTACTTGTTTCCTATTTTAGCACAACTCTGATTCAGCTGCTTTCATGAACTGTTCCGCCTTCTGCTTAGAAACACTATTATATCATCCAATAATTTCTTATTTGAAGGGAAAGGAACAGCCTTTCAAGATATGAAGATGCCAACATTTGTTAAAGAAGAAACAATAAAGATTTGTTACTCACAGTGTTTTCTTTTGTTGCCTTGTCATTCCACAACAGATGTGGAAAGTTTTGACCACTTAAAATTCAGCTGCCAGCATCCTAGATGCTTTGAATTTTCAAAGTTCAACAGGAGCAAGTGTAAATTATGCTAGAATGTAGTTAAAAGCAGAAATAGAATATTACACACTTCTCAGACATAAAACTAATGGAAGACTTTATTCTCCTCTCAAATATTTCCAATTATTCCCTTCCATTTGGTGAAAACCCCAGGGCTCTAACACACTGTAAAGTTTGCCATTGCAGAACAAATGCAGACTTGACATCATTGACAGTTTTCACCTTTTTAATAAAAGACATATAAAACTTTCAACATTACTCCATTTTTATTGAGGAAAATATAGCATCTAAAAAAATTCCCCTTGAATAAGAAATACTTTCAAACATAAATTAAGAAAAATCTCTTAAACTTTGTATTTCTTACAGTGAGGGCAGATCTCACATAAAACACATTCTTACAGATTTACAAAAGCAGTCTGACGTGATAGTTCAAAAGTTTTCAAGTCTTATCTTTCTCCTTTGTGGTGTTTGTTAAAAAAAAACTCACCAAAAAATTCTTTCTTTTCAACCCACCATTTGCATGGTTCAATAAAGGGCCCATGATAAAGTGCTCAGCAGCATGACTGGCAGTGTAGGATACAAGCTTGGACTTTCTCTACTCCAGTGTATTTTGATGGTTCTTGAGGTATGTTCTACCTGAAAGACTCCAGTTTTCCCTCTATGTTTACCCCTTTGGTCTCTTGAAGTTATTCTGTAAGCTTGATTTTTTTTTTCCCCAAAAAATATTATTTCACTATGCACATATGTTTTCTGGTTTTCTTCCAAATCTGTAGCTTGGGTTAAAACATGCACGTATTCTTCACCTGTATTTTTGAAGAACTGAGGTACGTTATGATTTGCTGTACAATGCTGGTTCTAAAAAACATGGGAAGAACAAATATTCAGAGCATACATGATTAAGGAGGTATTTTTACAAAGAAGGTGTTGTAGGCCTGACAGTAGGTACCAATGAATAACAGCTGGACTAAGAGTATCTTCTTGTTGTTCCATTTAAAAACTGAAAACAGCAAGAGGTGACGCATTCCCCAGCTTTCCAATGCTTCTCAGAACAACAGTGTGAGAATTCTAGTTTACCTTTTCATCACAGTTGTAAATGACATCTATAAGAAAGTGAACAATGCAGGGAAAAAAAAAAAAAAAGGTATTTCATGAGTTGGCGGTTTTTTTGTCAAGAAAGATAAAAAATTCATAAGTAATTCAAGTAAATCAGAGAAAAGAAGGATTTATAAATTAAGGACAAAATGCAAGTTTTCCTGTGAATGTCTTAAAAAACAAAAAAGCCATAAAGCCCATCACTTCAGTAATTAGAAAACACAAACTTTTAGAAAAATGCACTGACATCCAGCTCTGCTGTGATGCAACCCCTTAGAAATGAACAGCCCTTCTCAGTAAGGCAGACTGCCTCAATCCTTCAGAGGTTAAACCCCTGAAAGCACTGAGTGATTTAAAGGTCAGTCTTTAGAAAAGCCTATGCTGTTGAAGATCAGATTCAAACATTACTTTCAACTACTGATTAGAAAACTGTAACTACCAAGAATCTAAATGGTTTGTTTCCTTGATGTCAGGAAGCATCCTTTGGACAAATCCAACCGTTTTCATGGAATCATATAAAAAACGTGTCTTTGAATACATTCCTGCTATAATAATGGCCTTGCAACAGCTTTTTTCCAAAACAACAGCAATAAAGGATTTCATTACATACTTTAATTCCTAAACATTTAAATAACAAGCACCATAAGAAAAGTACAGAGAGGTCTTTGCCCATTTTTGTGAAGCACACAAAATCCATAGTTTGTGTGGTTTTAAGGACAAAATGTAATCATTGGTCAACATGACCTAGATTAAGTAAATTAGTAAACCAGTTCTAGTCTTGGCTGAAAAATTTTTCCTAAAATCTTTGATTTGTTTTTATTAAAACCTCAAAAGGAAAGAGCTAAGTATTTAGATGGTCCTGTTCTTACCTAATAAGCAGAGTATTTTCAAGGGCATGCTTTGATCCACCAGCCAAATCTGACATCTTTAAACCATTTTTAAAAATAATACATTTAAAGTTCTCCTCTCCACCCAGTAAAAATACTGCATTAAGTACTCAGCATTCATATCCAACCCTTCAATATTACATACATATCTAATCAAGCAAAACACAAGTCCAAAATATTAAATAGGTGGCATTAACTTGATCAAAACAGCTCACACATCAAGGAGGAATATAATGGTGGGATGCTATATGGGCTGGCTGTAAGGAAACAAATGAAAACCAACTCTACTGTAGTGAAAAGCTAATCTTTGGATTGCCTGTTTGCTTTTATTTTCTTTTTCCTTTGTTTTCTTAAGTCTTTACAACATTATAATATCAATTAGAATTTCTAAATCACAATACGTAGGATCCCAAATTAATATCAAAGCCAATGAGATGGAGGAAGGATGCAATATATAATTAAAGCTAGCAGATCTATGGTAACACCAGGAATGAATACATCAAAATATAACCAAATGCATAAAGAGTGTTTACACTCTTGAAAGCAACGGTAAAAGTCAAGTACACTAATAGTTCAATTTCTCGCAGAGGTAGGTACAGGGGAATGACTTGAGGGAGTAAATAATAACTTTATAAAACAGTCAGAGAAGTTTCCGTATATCTGAGTGGTGTGAAAAGACACACTTTGTTAGCTGCTAACAAATGTTACTCTTCTGGCTGAGGAACAAAAAAACAAAGATTAACTGCTTTACTGATTATCAGTTTGCAGCAAGTAAATGAGGACATTCAAAGTCCAGTCCACTAGTACATGCCTCTCAATATTAGTTAATATATAAGCCTTGATGATGCCTCTGCAACACCTTTAGAACAACTGAAATTAAAAATGCATCACTTACTTCTTGCAATACTTGTCCAAGTGTCTCCCGGCTGTGAAGGCGCTTCCTGTTGAAAATCAAAACCACACTTATTTCTGCACAAAGCGTTGGCGGGATCTTATAAACATGAATCATTTATCCCACTTCAAAAGAAGACTGTTGTGTCAGACTTTGTTCTGCAGACTTTCTCTTATGGAATCTTGATGCAATTTTATGGAATCTTACTGCAGTCTTAAGGAATCTACAAACTCTGATTCAGGCCTGTTATTATTCACATCAGGAGGAACTACCTGGATAAGGACTGCTACGCATCACGTTTTCTCAAAACCAACCATGTTTATTAAAAAGCTTAGTAACATTTCAGTATAAATCCTAATATCCATATACAGCTGATAATTAGTTGCTTTAGTGACATCTTCTCCAGCACTACATGTCTGTTATTCAGCAACTGATGGAAAAAGACTAACAAATACTTATTTTCTTAGTCATTCTTCCAATCTAATCAGTGGTAACCAGTGCTCGCAAACACAACAGCAATATAAAGACTTAAAAAAAATATATTTTTTAACAAAAATGAGAACAAGCTACTACAGTTATTGTTTCCAAACATCCTGTAATACCTGCACTAAAAATACTAGAAATGCAGATAGAAGGCAACATATTTTTACCTGTCTATTTTGGTTGCTATGACCACTGTAAAATTCCCTTCTGTATTGGGCAAGTACGTAGAAGGTATAATTACATAACTTCCTGCAGGAAGTCTGCAAAGTTGGCTCACTTCCTGTGAATAGCAATGAGGTACACAGCTAACCAGGGGCTCCAAGTGTAGAAAAGAGGAAGTATGTGGTTTCCAGCTGCTGTTAGGCACCTGCAAAAAAAGAATTAAAACATGCCTATTTTTCCATATATTTCAGGCCTCACTGTTAAATTATATACCACAGTATGGTATGTTCCATATCTATTCTACTCCAAATACTCTCTTCTGTACTGAGCCACAGAAGAGAGGGATAAGAAGGCTTCCAGAAAACACTGATGGCAGTATTAAGTACAGATATATCATTCCCAGAGTGTTTCTAGACAAGTTATACAATGCACTACCCCCACAGCTCAAAAGCTTTTTCTATTGTCTAACTTCACTCTTCCTCGCTGCAGCCTAACGCCCTTGTCTGGATATGGTTAACAGCACGTGTCCTTCCTCTTTGCTATACTAAAAATCCATATTAGACAGACTTCTCAGTCTCCTAGAGGCATGAAAAATGCCATTCTTTCAATCTTTCTTCACATACTGTATATTTGAAGTCATATGACTCCAAACTCTTCAGTTAAGCAACACCCTTTTTGAAACATGTTTTCCAAAAATAAAGCTAGCTTTCCCTCCAAAACAGCCAACCAGAAGCTTCCCATCCTACATTTAGGCAGCTGATCACTAGCACATGCACGTAGAACCTGTATTTGTCCATATCAAATCATATCTTCTTTTCATTTCAGATCATCTGTTCAATGTATCACAGTCCTTTTGAATTCTAATCTTGTCTGTGGATCCAACATCACTTGCCAATGGACAAATAAATATTACAGATGACGAAAGTACGTTTTAATGATGAATCATCAAAAAGTCTGGACATCAATCACTAAGGCACTGAGAGTTCTTTGCAAATCCTCAAAAGAGTTCATAATTTCTAAAACTAATTTAGAAAGTTGGAAGGATTAAGTGGGACCAATTCTCTGGTTACTACACTACGTAATTATTCTGCATCTTTCACGAGCATCACTTCACAGGATCAGCCTGTGTTTCTCCTAGAAGCAGCATGTCCCTTGCCAAGCGCAAGGGGCACTGAACTGACAGGCTTACCTGCACACTTGGCAAATGAGCAATCAAACTGACCAGGAGAAGTCTTACCTGGAAAATATGGAAACCTATTGGACGACACTTGCTATCTTGGCAGTGCTGACGGAGCGTAACTTTCACACTGCTTTTTCCTGATCCTGCAGGAATGGAGAGGGGAAAGCAGGGATTGATATGGAAGGAGGGGAAGTTCCTGCTACCTCCAGCACTTTGCCCATTTTTCCAGCATCCATGCAGCTGCACTGTCTCCCATTCACCTGCGGGGAGCTCTTCACAGAGGGCAGTATCTGTGGGCGGTGGCTTTAGCTCACTATCAAACATAAGAGAGAAAAGAAACTAAAATATATAAAACCTGTATGATTTAACACAATCTGTAACACCAGCTCACAAAACTGAACTAGTATTACATTAACTTACATGAATACAATTCCTCCAAACTTTCATCACAGAGAACTGTACAACTCTAAGTCCTTAGATAATTCACAGAACTCCACAAGAACAACATAGCGTATACAAACAATGCACTAAAACTAGGTAATATTTTTGTACATTCATGAAGTAATGCAGCTTACGTATTTTTTTCCCCTCAATACCCTTGTGCTATTTGTCTTATCTGAAACTGATATAACTGACAGCGTCTTCGGGTGTACACGAGCACCTCATTAAGTCCAAAGCATACACTGCATTCTTTCTTATATTCACTGTATCTTTAATCAGAGGAAACTACCGTTTTACCTGCTGATCTGATCACTGTAACGTAATGTAACAGCCATACGAACAATTTAGTATCATTATCAGTTGTGCAACATTTGAAACTATATTTCAGCATAACTCAAATGTTCCAGTTGAGAACATGTAACAGCTGTTACAATATTCTGTGATTGTCCATTCTAGACACACACCCAGGCTGGCACCCGTTTCAGTCGGAGGAAGTGTTATACTTAACAGCAATACTAGAAATTCTATCCCATTAGTGAAAGTGTAACATGTTCTACAGATGAAGTATGTCCAGAAACCAAATATATTGCTGGTCCGAAGCACACGACTTGCACCCATACAGCAAAATCAGCCGCATAGTTTTGCAGACCTTTATTCGGTCTAAAACTTGATGCCACCTTGTTTCCAAATTCCGCAGAGTAAATGATTTATGCATGTTCTGACTTTGCAGTGTGATTTGCCAGCTTCTCTCCAAGGAGATACGAGTTGATAGTATACTACCAGAATATTAAAAAATTGAATAGCTTTTAAAAATGTTGCCAACAGTACGTTTTGCCTCTACATATAGCTTACCTGGTGCAAGCTCTTAAGACAACCCCAGATTTTTTCAGGTTTATTGAAAGAAGGTACAACTTTGCTGACTCCACATACCTACTCACCATCATGTCTTCTTAAGTATTCGTTTCAAAGGCTATGGTAACCAACACAGAATTGCTGACAAATATTTGACTTTAAAGCGCTGAGATAGCTATGTAAGTTCAGCTATTTTGTCAGTGTTGAATGCTTTAATTTAAAGAACAATTCCTCATTCAGCTAAAGACGACAGCATAAACGTCAGTGCCATTTTTGACACCTGTCCTGAAGAGATGATCTGTGACTATTATGACATCTGAGTCCACTGCTAACACCCCATTTGCATTTGAAGCGGTACTGCTCACCAATAACCATGTTCTATGTCAGGCCATCTGTTAGTATGCACTTTCCAGCATACATGATAATACACTGCTCTCTCCTTTTTCATCATCAATTGCAATAATAACAGCTGCTTTTAATGTTTGGAAAAATGAAGGTATATCACAAGTTAAGAATGAACTTCCACATATTGAAAAGCATATTCTGCAGAAACCAATTCAGCTCTTTTACAAAACATGCACTTTCTCAAAACGCTAGGCTGCAGTTCAGAGTCAAGATGCTACTTATCTGACTACTTCTGACTGATATCTTAAGAAGAGGTAGTAGCAGCTTCATGTAAAAAACAAGGAGACTGAACACTACTTACATGAATTCAAAGATATAACAATGCTGTTACTTGGTACTCTGCACAACCCTTCAAAAACCATTTTGAACATTTACACTTAGTGCTATACTTCATATTATTTGTTCATGTCAATGACTATGAGAAATTTTCTGTTTTGTTTTAAACCTACCTGAGAGAGATCCTTCCCGTTGAAAATACACGAAGTAAGAAATTCCCTACTGCATCTTTCAGAAAAGTGCTGGGAACAACAAGATAAAACCCAGGCGAAAGGTCACAGCACACATGCACTTCTCTGTCATAGGAATGGCAGACGGTACCTACAACTGGAGGAGCAGAGAGGGTCTTTGGAAGGTTAAATCGTTTCTTCTCCACCTAGAATAGATGCATAATGATGCATGGTGTTTTAGGAAAAATGAGGAGTTTTTAATAAAACTAAAAATGATCAAATATTGTTTAAAACATTTTTAAACATGCATACATTTACAAAAGGAAACAAGTAAGAAGGAGAGTATCAGCAGATAAGCTGAACATCAAAGAAGAGTAGGAAGAGTTATTATACGGAGGAGTAAATTTAGGAACAGCCACCAAATAATCAGCCTGAAAAGTCATGGACTAGTTAGGAACAGTCCCAAAAGTTCTGCTACTTGGCACTCAGTGTGAAAGTACTAGAAGAAAGTACTAAGAAGAAAGTACTAGTCCTCCAGTAGAATGCATCATGAGATAAACAGGATCATTCTAATGTAAATCATAGATGTAAAATGTGTAAAGAGTTGAATCATATCACTGCTGTAGGAAATGAATGATTTTACTCAGATGTTTCAATAATGCTTTAAAACCTCTATTTGCAAAAAGAAAAATGTCACTCCTGTATTACCTTCCAGACATGCAATCCCACAGCCTGATAATTCTTCCCCTGTATGCCTTCAGTCAAAGATAGATTTTCCTCTGCTAAGCGAGTCAGATTTTGAATTCTTCCGGCCCAGTCAGCACTGTATTTCCTATGTTTCTGGAGCAGAGCAATGCACACCTCACTCTTTTCACAGACTCTCAGCCAGAACTTAGGGTTGGTAGGGAAACTGCTGTTGTTACGGCAGCCGCCTGCGGACTGGCCTCTCACCCAGGATCCAAAAAGATTCTGCGAGTGATATAGCACTTTCTCTAACAAAAGAAAAACATGGTGCAGATTTCAGACACCAGAGTCTACTTAACTTTATACAACAGATATATGGCAGAAATCTCTTAGCCCAAGAAAACATTCTGTTCTAGCACGGACACTTTCTCCAAGCAGATATTCGCGACCAACATTATAAGAAACATGAAAACGAGTGTCACCACTGGTAATGGCAGACTGATGACATGATCTTTACAGCAAAAAACTGTTTCTAGAAATATGAAGTCCATCTCCCATTAAAAAAAAAAAAAAGACAAGGCTGTCAAGAACAACAGCCTTATAGAGAGAACACTAATCTCTCAAGAAATTAGCAGGTAACCAGATCTCAGAGAAATATCAAAGGCTCCTTAAAGATCTTCAATTTCCTCTTAGCCCTCCTGTTCTTCCCAGCAGACATAAAAGGCCTATGGATCTAAAGTAGAGGGAAAGACTGAGAAAGATAAATTATGATCTAATTGCATCCATTTGCAATTCAAATCAGTCTCTCCCATTGACATAACATTATTTGCATGAGAAAGATGTTTTCTCATACCACACCTGTATAGAGGCTCTGAAGTTGTCCTTCCTCGTTGACTGGAAAGCCCATGGTAATCTCATCAAATTCCCTGAAAAATTCCTCTTCATCAACCCAGAATTCTCCCTCTTGGGTCTGTGAGAGCAGTTCTGAGGCAACTACTGGATCTAGCTGGCTCCATCCTTGACCACTGCACATAAGACAAAATTTAACATTTAGTTCTTCACCCAATAAAGTTCCATAACAATGTTCTATCGAGTACCCTATGGAGCAAGACAGTAAGAAGAGGTTTCTCCATTTTATTGTCAAATACTTGCACTGAATATTTCTGTGTACAAGTTGCTAGTCAGTGAGAAGGACAATAGAAAGTATGAATTACAACATATCAAAGAAAGCTTAGAAACAACCTAACACCAGAATGGATACAGCAGCATACTTATAGGTGAAATAGCTACCTTGCTTACAACAGACAGTAGAGTCCAAAGCGTGAGAGCAAAATAAATATTTCAATGGTTGTTAAAAGTAGTGACAAAAGTAAAACAAGCTGCACAGTGACTGTTCTGAAAGAATTTTAATGCTGTACAGTGAACATCAATAAACATTATCTGAATGAAGCACCTGGTTATCCCCACGAATCTGCTGGCTAAGTCATGATGAATCAAGAATTTAAACACCTCATTATTTACAATCCATTAAAAACTAGGACTTTCAACACTGTTGTTAGTGAAACAATCAAAAAAGAACAGTTCTGCACTTGAATAAAGCAGGGCTCTAAGGCCACCCAATTAAATGCTATCTATCCTCCTGCAACTACACAGCAACTCACTGTTTGGCAAAGAAGCTAAAAGAGTATAACCAAAACTCTGGCAAAAGCAAGAAACGTCAACTTTAGTCTCAATTAATGTGATTAAGCCTCAGGGAAAAAAACCCTATTTCTCTAAAATGTTTATTAACATGACCATATTGTTACCATATTTAAATGCTGAAAGCTTGACTCCTTGAGTCAAGAATTGCATGTTCTTTTGTACAGTCTAAATATGCTAACGCTTTTCAAAATAAGCTAGTAGCATCTGCCCTTTCATTCTTGTTACTTTGCTATGTGAACTCTAAACATATTTCCACATTCCCTTTAAAACAGATCACTTCTTTATATTTACTTTATATCTATTCTTCTTTATATTTACTCAATTCCAGCTTCTCCTACTCATATTAATCTACAGAAATGAGAGCACACAAGCAAAACACATAAGCATTCTTCCTTCTGCTGTATTTTGGTTTATACATACTCATTTTCTTGTCTTCTGCAAACAAGACAAGATCAAATGAGAAGAGTCAAGTAAAGCCGAGTGACTACTTAGGCACAAACATCTTATGAGTAAAGATACTTAGATCAATTGTAGAACAATAAAAGCAGCACCACAAAAGTCAGAGACAGAAAATAAACCAGTATTTTAAATTTCTCCCTATGAAAAGATATGATGCTTTGATAAACAAAAAAAAAATTACTAAAAAAAATTAGATTACCAGAAGTAACAGATCAAAATAACTAACCTTAGAACCAGTGAGCTGTGTGAACTACTGAACTCTCTTAAAAGATTGCACACAAACTGAAGTCTCTCTCCTCCACTATAGCCTATGAACAGTATTTGTCTATGCAATACATAGATATGCTCTGTGCTTCAGAACTTTCACAAATGATTTTCCAAATGAAAATAAACCTACTCACCCCTCACACCAGGGACCCCTCCAGCACCGCCTTCCCCAAGGATTTCTTATTCGTAGTAGGAAGATTTCCTTGCCTGACACTTCTGACAGTTTCAACATGTCTATCACAATAAAGGCATGGAATTCTCCTAGTTCACTTGCACCTGAACAGAAGGGGAAAAAAAGCATTTAAAGTAAACAAAAGAACCTGCTCCATACCCATGAATGTCATTAAACTACGCTGTGAAAGAAGGCAATTTTGAGATAAAATTGTTTTTAAATCAATATAAAACCAGCATAAAATAACCCAAACAGTTCATTTTAATTGTGACTATATAGAAATAAAATAAATGAAAACTTTAAAACATATTAACTCACTACTTGATCTCAAACATTTTCAGATTCCTGGTGCTGAAATTCATTGGTGTTTTTAAGGGGTTTTTTTTAGGTGCTTTTTCAGGGGGTGGGAAGTGTGAGTTAATTTATATTAGTATCTAATATAAAAAGCACTCCCCAAAAGCATCCTCCATCGCGAACTCAATAACATCCTTAAATCTTTATTTATCCAAGGTTATATAAAATTGCATCATTAAACTCATATGGTACTAGAATCAGCACTATGCATTTCCTGGCTGCCTTGTGCTCTGAACCCTGTTAGACACATTTATTTTAAAAATACCTAGAACTTTACTATTACCTTTTCTGGAATTGAGGACTGAGCAGCTTATTACACACTGTTCCTTCAGATTCATTAATCGTCTAAAAACTGCTTTCTCTAAAACCATGCCAGTCTTCCCTTTCTCCATGTTTCTTTCAGGGTCTTTCAGGGTCCATCTTTCAGCAATTCCTCCAGTCAGATCAACCAAAGCATCTGCCACCTGTCCTGCCCACAACTGTTCATAAGATCCATGTACTCTGTAATTAAAAAAACAAAAAAACCCAAAATAAACAAAGCAAACAAAAGTTTCTACAAACAGCAGAACTAAAGAAGCATGGTTCTTATGTACTTTCAACCCCACCTTAAATCACAGTCATGACTGCACCCTACTTCATATCCCCAAGTAGGCAAGAGAAAGCACATACTATTTTATTGATACAGAATACAACATCTAAACAATATATGCACCATCAGACATTCCACTGTTTGATGGGACGTTTATTCCAATTCATTCCATCCTATATAGGAACCTCTCCAGACTACTACTAGTCATTTGTACCTTATTATCCAGGCATGACATCACCTTTTGTGATATACTAACTGCATTCTGTATAAATAATTTCTTCCTCTTCTTCAATTATTCTTTGTTCACTCTGCACAAACAACCAGAGTAGCACTTTCCTCAACAATTTACGTAAATCAAAAGACTACCCTACCTGATGCAGCAAATGCAAAAGATAGCAAAAGAAATCAAGACCATAGTAGAATGATAAGTCAAGATAGAACAATAAGTCCTCTACAGAAAACAAAGACTATTGCCTTTCAACCTAGAGAAGCTTTAACATGCCACTGCTACTTTACAACTTCTGTTCGGTGTATCTACAGTTGAATAAATTACTTCATATTTAAAGTCTTTTTCTGCCCTCTGCTGGCAACTACACAATCTTTCATCCAAGTTCTTTCAGACATTTGATGTCTATCTTACTAGTGCACTTTGTCTCCAAATTGTTTTGCCCGTCTGGACAGCATTTTGATGAACGTGTCATAAAATACACAACAGATGCATTTTCAAACACATTAACAATATGGTTGTTTCTTCTCAAAATAATAAGCTATCAAATTAAGCAAAAGAGCAATGAAATTCATATAACCAGAGCCTCAACTAACATAAAATTACATAATGTTGTCACCTTCCATGAAAATGCCTTCTGCTTCTCATTGAGCCCTCATCTGACCTCAAATGCTGCACTAGTAAAATTTTTCCCTTTTCTAAATTAGGTAACCAATGGATAGCGACTTAGTGAACATCATTTGAATCCTGATAATTCATTGCAGCTCGTACTTTTAATCACAATTCTCTCTTTAAGACTATCTTCCTTTATAGGCAACTAGAAACATACCTGACAGATCTACAGTTTAAAGAGCAACTTCTGCACAACCCAGTATGGGAAAGGTAGCTGTACTTCGTATTGACTATAGATCTATGCCCAAAGCAGTCAGATAAAATAAGTAAACAGAAGGTATACAAGTATTGTACCTCCCTTTATTTCCCTCAATAACAGTGTTCACATACTTTGCGTAAGCTTTTTCCAATAGCGGAAGCCAAAACAAATCCTCTGTCTGACACTGGGAAAAGCAGAGTTTACCACCGAGGCAAGGCAAACGATCATCGATGGTCACTTCCACCCAATGTCCAAACTGCCAGACTCGACAAGTGAAACAGCCTTGATAGGACTCATCTGTCCAGCTGGGCTGACCTGGAGGGATTACCTAGATGGAAAAAGCCAAAATCAAGACAAATATTATTTTTTTTTTTAAACAAAGCCAGTTTAAAATATACTGAATATCAAGCATTTTTAATAATCACAGAAAAAAAAAAATCATAACAAAACTGATAGTCATGTGGAGGCTTGGGATTCAAGAACAATACACAAATGTAAATTAGGTGAAGAAAACTTGTGAAACATGAAACAAGAAACTTCTCTATACCTTATTCAGTAGGTATTTACTCTTCTGCAAAGCTACACAGGCACACAGGAACCAACAATCTCCTAAAATTCCTTGTTTTACTTGCACATCCTGCAGATTGTTTGAAAATAACCGAGGAGTAGAACAGATATCCTAAAATTAAAAGAAGGAGAGTTAAAGCCAAACCCTGCATGGCATTCTAAGGAAGTCTGCGGTTCAAGGATGGAACGGCTCGAGAGACCTCTCACAAAATAAGGGAATTTTCACCTCTATACCATTTCCTTTTCAGAGGCAGCCTATGCAAGCAATAACAAGTTACTGCCTGTGGCTATTTTACAGGTGCTTTATGTCAGGTAAATCTAGTTCCCCCATGAATTTTAGTACACAGATGTCACCATCAGGTGCAACCTTAGCAGAGGCACCAATAAGTGAAAGACAACATAAGTCATCAGTTTCTCGTTAGGTATATGTTCAACTGTGATAGAACTGATGCCATTCATACTGAACTGCACATCCCAAGTCACAAAAATCTCCAAATGGACGTAAGAGAAAAAGCTCTTCTAGAAATAAGATCTCTTGGTAGCAAATAGGTAATTTCAAATGCAAAGTCCTAAACACTTAATCGGATCTGAAAGTGAGTTTTTAAAATGGTTCTTCTCTCACCTGTAAACACTGAAAGAGACGGAAATTAACTAATCAGCTCTCAGTAGTGATCAAGGTGTAACATACAAAAGCAGAAAGTTGCACACTGGGCTCCATGAAGCAATTTTTTTCCCATTCTATCTGAACACCACCAGCTCTATCACTGTTCTACATCCATCCCCAGATGCAGGAGAGAAAAGCAATACCACTGAAGACATTTTTTTTTTCCTCCATTACATTGTTATAGCCTTTTTTTCCCCCCTCCACACAAAGACAGTATCATAAATACTTCATTTTAAATGAGTGTACTGCAGAAATGCATTTTAAACTTTTTAGTTCTGATATTGTTTCCTCTGAAACCCAGTTCTAAGTTTATAAGCAATACATGTCACATGACCAGTTATAACCTTTAAGTTTTCTTTCTCGTTATCAAAGAAATCAACAATTGGGGGGAAAAAAAAGGCAATACTCTTCTAGAAAACTTTAAAATCCAGTTATTTCTTTTCAAGACAGTTAGACAATATATCGAAAAATCTGGGAATGACATAATGCTTTTTTTTAACCTGGTATGCACATTACTTGCATAATGAAACACATTTATAATAAAATATCTGAATTTCTACTTGGTGCTATGAAATTCAAAATTTCTACTACAGGATCTAACTCAAACCTACATACAAGCACCCAGACTTAAAACTCACATATTGTTAACACCGACATACATTGGTTTTATCACTTCTATATTTCTAAACAATAAAAATACCCAGCAGTCATTCAATCCTTAACTACCATTTACTACCTCAAAGTCCAGTTCTGCTAAAATAAATTTTATACCTTAAAACTCACCTTAGGTCTCAACCAAGATATCTCGCCTCTGAACTGGGCAAGCGGGGTACAGTAATCAAAAAATATAGAGGTATCACTGGCTGGAAACGTGGGGTCTGTGTAAAGGTCTCTCTTAACGATTAACTGCTTTTTCTCTCCCAGCATTTTCAACACAATCCTAAGTAGCTTTGCCAGCTATTTCCACGACTTTACATTGCCAAGCACCAACCTATAACATAAGTGAGCATTACTCGGGAATTGTAACTGAGAAACAAATAAGCAAGACAGATGTAGGAACAGAAAACCTCTCACTCTTTCCACGGAGCACCCTGAACCACGCCATTGCTGGCTTCTTCCAGCACCTGGTACCACCCTAGAAGTTCCCCGCTCTGCTGAAAAAGAGAAGGGCAGGGTGTCTCGGAGGAAGGTTACACCCAGGAGCCCACTTAGAGCCCTTCCCCACCCCCCTGCGCACACCCTGCCCACAAGGCCGCCTCCACCATCACCTCTTTCCTCACAAGCAGCCCCAACAAGGCCCCTTACACACACACCTCCCCCTGCTCACGGGCTCCCCCCGCCCCACAGACACCCTTCGCCACAACGGGCCTCAACAAGGCCACCTCCGCACACATCCTCCGCCACCCCTATCCCCCACTACCCCACCCTCGGCCACCACGAAGTGGTGCGGTGTCACGTCCTGTCCCGTCCCCGTCCCCGTCCCCTCCCCCGCCATCTCCTCACCGCCGGGCCGGCCCCGCCGCCATGCCCGGGGCGGCCGTTACCGCGGCAACGCCGGACACCCCCTTGTCCAGCCCGGAGGTAACGGATCCGGCCTCCGACCAATGAAGAGGCGGCAGGCAGGCACGTGGTACAAGCACCGCCAATCGGCTGCCGCCCGCCGTGCCCTGCGGAGCCGGGAAGGGGGAGGGCCCAGCCCGCGGCAGTCGCTGAGGGCGATGGCGGCGGCCTCGTCGCGGGTGGGAGCCCAGGCGGCGGGGCTGCCCGTCCCCGGCACGGCGCGATTCACGATCCTGGCGGTGTTCCGTATTCAGGAATACCTAGAAGAAACGGGAAGTTCTCCTAATCAGAGCTGGGGGAGGGAGGCTTAACGGTCACCTGAACAGAGGCTGAGGTAAACGAAACCAAACTGTTTTCACGAAGGTTACGACAGGGAAACTGGCAGAGAAATTGTGGACGCTCACAAAGTGGTTTCCCGAGGTAATGCCAAAGATCACATCTTCAGGTAGTTTATCACTAAATAATTGCCCAAGGGCTGAACTAACAAAGGAAGTACACTGCTTCTTATACTTCCATAGCTACTACTGCCTAGTGAAATAAAAAAGTGACTTGCCACGAGCAAAGAATAACAATGACAAATGAAAGAAATGCAGAAATACAAGGCCACTTGCAGGCCATCCTTCAGTAAACCACGGCTGGTTCCAAGGTTCTGGGCCCAGGTCAAACTGAAGCAGGCTGCTTTCTTTTTCATATTCAGGCTTTTTATGTTAGTGTTTCTCAAGAAGTTCCAAGTGTGGTCAAGTAAGCAGTCTGCTGAACCAGCATGAGAGGATATGGTGTTTACCAAAGAAAGCTGTTTTTCACACTCGTCTATAATGACAGGTTTGAGTCTAAGGGTTATGGCACCTGGTCCTTGGGAAAAGATGTTCTCTTGAGAGAGCCACAGAAAACACTGCTCTGATTCATTCCTATTAGAAATGAATGCAGAAATCCTCCCTTCAAACCTGCACCTTAGCAGAATTGAAGTCCTCACAGGTAACTGCAGTAGCGGTCCACCCACTGACTGATCCAGAAACACGCTCTCCACCCCTTGCTTATGCCCGTCCTACAGACACAAGGCTTCTCCCCTGCATACAGCAAATTTAATCAACAAACAAGACTTTGCACGTTCGAGTTTTGACCCTTTTGGAAGCAAAGAAAACATTGCTGTCAGTAAGAATAAGGAAACCTCTTGTCCTTGGCTCATGCAAGAGAGCTGCAGCTGCACAGGCAGCTGCACAGGCTGCAAGTGAGCCGACACAGGAGAGGTCTGTTGGGGGAGGGAAAGGGAAAAAAAAAGGCCTCTGTCTCAGGAACAGTGAGGCTCTCATCTGTGTGATTTCACCCTTGCTGCTTTCTTTAGGAAACCACGATCATAGATCATAACTGCATAAATTTCATTCAAGGACAGATTCTAGAAAGCAGTGTGAATGTTGAGCTCTAACTGTAAATATAGTAGGTCTAACCTGGTACACTGAACTAGTTAAACAGGCAACTATTTATTTAGGATGCTATTAGAAGAAGAAAAGAGATGGACATTATCTTGGTCTCTAAGATATCTGACATGCTTTCCTTGCCCCACTGCAAAGTTGGAAATGGGCAAATGGGCAAATTCATCCATTATGCAGCTGGCATTTTTTTTTCTATTAACCCCTAACTCTTTGGAACAAAAGCAGTGGAGAATTTTCTCTGTTGCCTCTTGACAATTCTGCTAGATTAAACTATTCCTGAAGACAGATACACAGATCTACTTAGTAAGTCTTGAAGAGAATATTTTAAGACAAAATGACATTTGCCTTTTTGTCAGTCTGTTTCTGAGTGCACTTTACACAGGTGCTTATTTTCTTGTAAAAGAATAAAGCAGACACCGAGAGGCTGAGTCCAGTCACTATGGAAATTTAAACAGTTAAAAGTGATTTGCATCCAGTTAAATAGCCAGCTTATTTCCATGTGAATGAAGACTATCCTTTGACAGAGTAGTATTTGATATTTTCATGATCATTTTCCAGGTTTTGGGTTTCATCAACCTCATGTTTGCTATCATCTCCAACTCCAGATGGTTCAAAGACAGGGAGACATGTAAAAGTGATCAAGCAGTGGTGGCTTGGCCCAACATGTGTGAGTTTTTCTGCAAACTGACACACAGAAGTTGTTCAAATTGCACAGGGGAGCTCTTCCAATTCTTTGGATCCTAATACCAGGCTTGGGAAGGAACAGGCTTAGTCCCTGCAATACAACTAGGCTGACAGTGGTCACAGCTGTGTCAGAGGAACAGCACAGAATGACATTTTGCTTAAGGGGGATTTTGGAGGGGCTATTTGGGGTTTAGGCTCAGAAGAGCATGGTTTGGAAGAAGTCTCTGAAGGTTTTCATCATCCAGCCAGAAGCAGCCTGGTGTCACGGTGCTCTCTTCAGCTACTGGGAAGACAGACTCAGTCTTCTCTCAGAAAGAATGAGTGGCTTGGCTTGAGGAAGACTCCCACTGCTAGACAAAGATCTCCCTCATTACCTCGGGCACACCCAGAGGTAGAGCACAGCTCCAAACTTCCATGCTGGCTACCACAGCACACAAGAACAAGATGGTACAAGACACCAAAATTAAAACAATGCACAAAGCTGATGCATCCCTAGGTCATACACTTGGAATGTCAACCAGTTATTATAACTTAATCCCTGTGACGCTTTCCATGAAATTACAGGAGTGTGAAGAATATCCCTTCTACCACCCTTTCCTACCACCTCCCACTCTTAAGTAAGACCCTGCATCTCAGTAAGTATGCTTTTGGAAAAGGGCCCAATGCTCTGCAAAACCCATTAATACCATTTCTTATATTTTAGGGAGAGACTTGTCTCTCTGGTATATTAGAACACCACAGTGCACACTATGTTCAACATAATACTCATTCTTTTGACAAGAAATCAGAGGTACAAGGCTTGAGTTTTCCAGTGCAGAAGGTGCATGCACATAGAGAAGGTGCGAGGGGAAATGTTCACACAGGCTCAATCATTTAATGCAAACAGCTCGTCTCCATCTGTATAGAGTGAAAAGCCACCTCCAGAGTATGGAATAGCTTTTCTCTACACTCCTTTATCTATAAAAGGTTGCCATGTCCATATAAGGCATGCTCTAACTGGTGCCCAAATTATTACTGTAATTAATGAAAAAACAGGATAAATGCACAATATTAATAAAAATTTCTTTTTAAGTTGGTGCGGAATACACAGCAGCATTTGAGGTAATTTTTGAGAAACAGTGTGCAATTTTCACTTTAAAAGGATGCTGAAACATCATACTCCACCCCAGAGCTAAAGCAATACATGAAGTGTAAAAGTCATACCTTACAGCAAGAGACCAAACAACTCAATCTGCTTTCTTTAGGAATTAAGAGGTACTTACATGGAAAAAAGTTTAGTAACAGTACAGCAGTTTATGCTTTGCAAACAAAGCAGTAGCTTCCAGAGCTGGAAGCTGAAACTAGACAAATCCAAACTAGAAATTAGGTATGCAGTTTTAGGAATGCATGTAATCAAAAGCTAAAACAACTTACCTGGGGTTTCAACAAATTCAGTGTCATTTAAATTGGGTCCTCCCAACAGAAAAATAATTCTGTGTCTCAGACGATAGTGGCTTGATAAATCTCACACTGTGGTTTCTACTGTGGTTCCTTTTATACACAAAGTCTGATATTGTGGTCATAACAACTTTAAGCTTTTATCAATCTATGGTAAAAAGTGTGAAAACAAGTGTCATGTGATTTATAAATATTGACTGAGTTGCCTAGTTTTATCTTTGGACAAACACAAACAGGGAAAACAGACTGAAGAAATGTACTTGACCTAAGTGAATTGTGCAGTACATGTACTTAGTATTGATGTACAGAAGGTCCTCTGTTATCAAAAAAGGCAATGGCCAAGGTCACTGCAGTGCAAGAACATGAGAAAATTTTGGTTAAATCAGAATGTTTGAGATGCTTGCTGGAACTGTTCTTGGTTAATGGAGTGCATGGTTAGGATGCTGCAATGTATCATGACAGCAAAATTACTGATACAAGCTTAACAGAGTAATACATGGGTAGCTAACAAGAACTAACACATTAACCAACGTGGCTATGAAATGCTAAAAAATTAACTTAGTAATATTCCATTTTATTAAAGGCTTTGGCTGGTCAGAGCTTGTTGCCCTACTCAAGGCTGCAATGAAATAAAGTAACAGCTTTCATTTTCAAAATAATAAGATAACCCTATATCTTGACATCTGCTTAAATAAAACCAATTTACTGTACTAATCTTTACTTTAACAGATTGGAAATGAACATACCTAAGATAAGGCAAATAAATAGTTTCTATTTAATCTCAGTCTAATTTGCCTGTCAATATGAAGAGTACTACAAACCAAGACAGAAAGTAGCCTGAAGCATTAATTTATCTTCTATCAACAAAAGGAAGGCTTATCTCCACAAACTTGCTGCCAATTTTTTGTCTCTTCAAACTAAAAAGGGACTCCTTGCTCTCAGGAGGAGCAAAAGTACCTGAAGAAGGACACATAGAATATTTTCAAATATTGTTCTGCTTCTGTGTTTCAGAGAACAAGTCTTATGAAAATAGCCATCTGATGGGAACTAAGAGATGAGAGCAGAAACACTAATTTAGATCTTGTGTTCTTTAATCAGGAAACAGTTGGTTAGGTTCAGCCAGCATTTCCCTGCTCCAATGCATGTATACGCAAACAGACAGCTGATGCGATATATTTCAGTCAGTTGTAGTAAGAATAGATATTTACTTTTGATTATTTGCTTTTGCCACCTCTTCAGCTTCTTGCTGTGCAGCTTTTAAATAACTCCCAAACTCCCCCTATGCTGCACTCCAAAAAAGGACAAAACAAAGACAATGTACCAAGTTAGCTCTTCCACACATCTATAGCAGGGACGCTGAAAAACTGCCCAAAAAGCTAAACTTGTCACAAAGCTTAGTTTAATTTGACAATCATCATAAGGCATCCATGTAAATTAAAAATTCCCACCAGGGACACATACATTCTCCCACAAAATAAAACGTGTTAAAACAGAGACCTGGGATTCCAAAAGATGCTAGTGGTTACTGGTCTTGGCCACACTGCTGCTGCTGGCAGCGGGGTCCAGGAGACGCAGCACCAACAGCGGCAACTCAGGAAGTGGAAAGTCAGCTTGCACAAATCTCTTTCAATAGAGCAACAAATAAAAAGAAAAGAGATTTGTACAGAAAACATCATTCTCCATCCTTTCTGGGAAACCAAACGAGAACAAAAAAGATAATCCTATTCAAGGAGCAAAGAGCAGAGCTTGGAGTTCTGAAGCCCGACAATGCTGATAGCCCATTTTGAAAACTAGTGAAGCACTACAGAGGCCTGAGTTTATTATTGCTTTATCCCAGTTCAGCCCAGGCTAAGGCTATGGTGAAGTCCAAATGAATTTAAAGCCAGAAAATGCAGATCCAGTAACAGCACCTAAGTCCCCATCCACACATGGGTGTAAACAGATACTTTTGGTGAAAAAAAAAAAAAAAAAATCTCCCAAATTTCCCCTCTTGCTGTGCTACATAGATCCCCATAGCAGGGCTAAAATTTGCCCTGAAGTCTGTAAGTTTCTTTTATCTCCTTTAGCTGAGCCTCATCCAAATGTTTTGCCTTTTATTCAAAAAAGTCCTCTATCCTGGTGATACATCAGTTCAAAGATGTTTTGTGGGAGCTCACCAACAGGCACACAGGTACCCAAAGGTTAAAAAGAATGTGGCACAGAGTCTAAGAACCATCACCTGTACTCTGTAATACCCAACGATGCTTTGCCCTCGGCTTCCTGAGACCAAACGGCACAGACAGAAGAGATTGTCCCCATCTCGCATGCCTGGCCAGTGATCAAGAGAAGTAGCATGCTGTGTTAAGGAAATGGCATCTTACCACCACCGTAAGTCAGAAAACAGACTCAGGTGAAGTGGGGCTTAAAAGTTTCACATCAAGAAAGAGGGTGCATCCCTCCTCACAGAGCAACTGTTATTCAGGCAAACATTATTCAAGGTGGTAAAATTTTAGCATGGATATCTCCATGGTTGGCTTACAGGCCTAACATATGCTAGGGATCTTTAAAAAAAAATTAAATTAAAGGTCCTGTTAATTCCTCCAAAAGGACAGAAGACTCACAGTGCATCTGACAAACACACATGCTACACATCCTAACACACTAACAGAGGTTGCAGCTAGACTTATCAAAACAGTTAAAAAAATTCAGGCATCCAGCTAGTACCAGAACTGATGGCATTTGGGCACCTAAATTTAACTTTTTTGAAAATTCAAGCCTACACATTTCTTTATTGCTTGTCCCATTGAGTGCAAAGGGAAAACTGAGGGCAGGGTTGACTACAGAAGGATTTCAAATCCATCATAAGGTTTCATTGTTCTTTTATATATATACTTATATATAAGTATATAAAAAGCATTATTATTATTTAGCCACCTGGGGGCAGGGGGGAACAAGAGCTTTTTAAGATTAGTTTCTTAATTATTTAAGCATTAGTCCCCTACTTCCCAAATCACAATACCTCTGTCACAGTAAGGAGCATAACATGAAAACATGTTTGCTGCCACTGACAAATCCCAAGCCGCCTCTTTGCAGAACTTCAGCCCCAATATCAGGATAATGGCAGTTTGACACATATACACTCCCCAGCAACATATGCACAGCAAGTCAGACATGTGTCAGTGGCCTCAGACAAAAAAGAAAAAAAAAAAAAACAAAACCAAAAAACAACGAAACCACCAACCAACAAACTTGGAGAAACCGTCCAGAAGAGCCTCAGGAAAGGGAACTATCCACTTTTCATGGAGAAGTAACTGCCCAGGAGTCCCTGCCCAGTATAAACTGAACCAAAATATCCATCCCACAGCTGAAGGAGATCTCTGAAACCTGGTAGTGTCACACGCTGGATACTTGAAGGCACAATTTGCTTTTTGTTTTGGGAGAGAAATCCAGTTACAACAACACATTGCAGCTGTAGGGGCTGAGAGAAAGGAGGCGACACGTGGTATCTTTCCTCTGTTCCTGTCCCCATTTTCAGGCTTCATGGCTGGCATGAGCTGGTGATCTAAGCAGACACATTAACATCCCTGAGTGAAATGGCACCATTTGTGGCCTCTGAGACTTTGTCCTCAAGCACCATTGCTGGTGTGTCTGTAGTGACTGCTGTAGTGTCTATGGCAGGAAGTGGATTCAAGCCCTGTGATAAGATTTGTTGGATGGTTTTCCGCAAATTGGGGTGCAGCTGGTTTTGGGTCTGGTAAAAAATTTCTAAGGCAAAAGACTTGAGGGTGCCAGTGCAAAGGTCCTCATAAAGTGGAATTGTATACATCCGAGACATCTGCAAAAAAGGAAAACTGGATAATATCACTTCAATAAAAGTCAAGAGGTTCAGCTCTTCTACAGCTATACTCCAACAGCCCTGAATGACTTCAGACTGGAGACAAGCAACACATTTCTTCAAAAGACAGCCGAGTCTATTCTAAGTAAGTTTAATGCAAAGATTTTTATGAATGATTTAAAAAAAAAAAAAAAAAAACCAAACCAAATTGCTCTCTAAGACTGAGCTACTTCTACAAATAATAGAACTATTTTTTAAAGGCCAAGGAGAAGAGGCCACACCGAACACATGCATTAACCCTTTGCTCCTGCACAGTAAAAACTACTGAAAGGAATTCGATGAGCCCTAGCCTTCCTTGAAGGGAAAATATTCAAACAATCACATGACTTAGTAGTGTGAAAATTTCTGGTCTAGAAAAGCCAGGGCTGCTACAAAGCCACACAGAAAATGCACTGGGCAGAGCTGGGACAAGGGTATTGAGGTAGGCTACAAAAGCAGAGACTATCTGTAGGCATTTCAAATTACATCTGCCCATTCCTCCCCACCCGCTAGCAGGTGAGCCATGCTCAGCCCCTTCGCAACACACCTGGTCTACACTTGGCCAGGAAGCAGAAGTTCCAAGGTCTTTCACGTCGCATGTCTCATGCACATGTCTCATGCACTGAGAGGTGCAGTGATTTTAATCCAGCAGTTAGTACCTGGTTTTCCAAGAAGCGACGGACTTTGTAAAGGTCTGGATAATAGTCATTTCGGACTACAATCTGCAACCAGCGGATACGGACTTCTGCATTCATGGAGTCCAACTGAGAGGAGTAACATTCCGAAAGCTTTTTTATCACCTCTGAAGAGAGCACATACACAGAGAAAGAACTATGACCTATTTTGTCAAGTTTGAGCATCTTCAGAGAATAATGAATCATCAAATCACAGAATCATAGAAAGGTTTGGGTTGGAAAGGACTTTTGAAGATCATCTAGTTCAGCCCCACCCTGCCACCGGCAGGGACATCTTTCACTATGTCAGGTTGCTCAAAGCCCCACCCAACCTGACTTTATGTGAATTATAAGGTCAATGAGGGGTAGGGCTCTTTAGAATTCAATTAATTATTCCAGGAATACTTTTCTACTATCCTAATAGAGTGCTCACCATGCGGCAGTGGTGACCCATCCAGCAACCTGTCCAAGAAAAGCACAGTTTGGAACGTTCTCCATTTAGTGAGGTCAGCACTGCTGGCAGCAGCAACAGAGTCCAGAGGCTCTGTGGTCCAGAGTTTGAAGAGCGTCTCCACTGGTCTGGTCAGACTGGATCCCTGAGATAAGTCTGGCTCAGCTAACGGAGGTCCTGTAGCATTGAGCCAACGTTCAAACTCCAGTCCTGGAATGAGGAGCACCAAAAATGTCGAGCAGGAGTCTCTGCAGGTGGCTTGGCTGCCTCAAGGTTCAGGACTGCTTCTAGCACAGTTAAGAAAGGTTCTAACAATAGCAAATCAGACCAACCTATAGTTACAACGACATAACAGTCTCAGCAGTCTCATCAGGCTAGCCTGTGTTACACCTGGAAGAGTGCCAGCAACGCCTCTCTGAATTTAACCATGAGTTTTCTAGAGCTCAACATTACAGTGAATAAGTACAAGAAACATACACGCTCTTAAGACAGACAGGATAACAAGTATCTATATCGAACTATGTCCTGATATGAGATTTTTTTTTTGTGAATGTATTTATCTTTCTCAAAATTTTGAGGAAGACTCAAGAATATGGGGAATACCTGCTTCATAAAAAAAAAAAAAAAGTGAGAGTACTGACTAAACTCCTCATATCTACCTGCAAAACCAAGCAATTTTAAATTTATTTATACAATCAATAACTAAAATAAAACAAAAATGTTTCTCCACAAGCAGCAGAGCTTGCAGAGCCTGGTTTCCAGCAGAGGCCCCCTTCACCACCTCAGCACTCCCAACCCATGGCAATACCACTGTACACCATCTACCCTAAAACTCCTCTCTCCTGCATCCCCTGAATGTCAGCCAGGCAAAAGTTAGCACGCACTGTGGTTAACTCATTAGCCAACCAGTGGGCCAGGTAAAACATACAGATGCTGAGCTCACGCTGCAGCTTTTCCCACAGTAGGCTCAATCACCTACATGCCTCCACAGGCAGTTTCCACAAAGCCTGTAGGAAGGTGGTATCCTTAAAAGCTTTAAGGACTCTACTGCCAGTTTGGTTTAATCTAACCAATGGGTTCAATAATTACGTGCAAGGAGGGACACATGGCAGGACAACATTAGTCTAATTTCTTTAAGCAAGTGGGCTAGTAAGCACCTAGTAGATTACATAATACCTTTCATAAATCCACCAGCAGCTATGAATAGAGGATATAAGGGAGAGTGAAACATTATGGAAGAGATTTTATATGCATGGATGGGACCTTGGGAAAAATTACAGTTCTCAAAGCATGTTTTCTGTAATTAAAATAGATTAAATTTCAAACTGTGTTCACCTTTTCCTTGCATTTGATAACGTTTAAATCTCACATGCACTGATCATTCTGTCTGCAGTGTGAAAGTTAATGAGAAAGTTAACTGAGGGCGACTCAGCTACTTAATGCCAAAACTGCCAGCAGTTTAAGATGTTCTCACTCCCCGACGTAGAGGCAGTAACAACAAGTCACCACAACCATTTATATCACAAACATTAGACTGTTGCCAAAGGGTTTTGTTTGCTTTCACATTTTCTTATGCATCCTCCAAGCCAAGCACAAAATTTATCATCCAGATTTTACAGTGTTTACAGTTAGCCAAGTGTATTTCCTACCTGCTTTGCTCTCGACACATTGCTCTTTCAGCTCTGGAAAAAAACTCAGGAAGGAATCCAGAAGATCTTGAGCCACAACACTGGTAAATTTGTACTTCTCAATGTAGGCCTGAAACAGTAAAAATGATAAATTATGGGTAGGAGAAAGCTTCTTTTTGATATAAAACCACTGCATGCAATTAAAAAAAAAAAAATCAAGAAAAATATTGTCCCTCCTCCCCCCACGAGGAGAGCACCATACCAAGAAGAAAACTGGGTAGCTGCAAATACATTGACAGCTGAGTACAGTGTTTTTTTCTGATAGAGATCACAGATACATTGACATATCGAGGGCAGAAGGTTTCCTCATACTTGACACTAGTGGAAATTCAGAACACAGCTGGCCAGTGTATTATTCACCGATAGATTATGGAATAAAGTCATACTTACAGAACTAAAGATAAAGATGGAATGGGGGATGGATGAGGAGAATAAAAACATGCATACAGCAAAAAAAGAAAAAGCAGTGAGTTGTGCCACTTTTCAAAAACAAGTCAATAGCTGACAATTTTCTACAGGTTCTGTAAATGTGCTCCAAGGCAACAAACCTGCCCCAGTATAGGAAACCACGACCTCTGTTGCCCTGGCTAAAAAGCACAAGCTAATACTTTTTAGTAGTGAACAAAGTCACATCATTCCAGTCACAATCTATGATGGAACAGCTTTCTAATTATGCAGAGCACAGGACAAGAGGTAGCAAAAATATACGATTACTCCATATATGGCATGTCATAAGCTCACAATCTGAGATGAAAGGAGAGCACGAGCACATTCATTTAAGAAGAATCTTGTAGAAAGAATCATCCAGGTTGACAGACAGGTCCACACCATTCTATCTCAGACACACTTGTATTCAACTTTACCCCTATCAGTTAGCCACAGTGACAAAACCTGAAAAAAAAAAAGAAAAAGCAGCTCTAAATCTCAAGAAATACACATGCTTATTCACACTCACTCTTAGGAAGGAGTCAAAGTGTCTTGGGTCACCACAGAGCTGGGACAGGTAGTAAACAAAGCAGTAGCCTTTCTCATAGGTGAAGAGGTTCATTAAATTGCTAGGATTTACACCTGAAAGGAGAACACAACAATGTTATAAGATACTCTAATGAGGACACTAATTCCCAACCCTTCCCAGTATACAGACCCCCCTAGAGATCATAAAGTCAAGATGTAGTGACTTAAAAACAAAGCAAGCCTGTTGTCAGTACCTTTAATTTACTGCAGTAAATTAAATGGAAGTAGTCCAAACACACAGGCTGAAAAATAAATTTAAAAAAAAAAAAAGAAAAAAATCAATCATTGTAAGCTAAGTATTAATTCCCAGGGGAACAAGTCACTTCAAATTAGAAGTTGCTGAAAACACACCTAGAATTTGAAGACAAATCCTGTTGGGTTGTTTTGGTTTTTTTTTAGTGCCAAACTCAGGCAATCACCATACCACAAATTTTTAAATATCTCAATTTACTATTTTTAGACTGGTTTATAAGCCAGCATTTCTTTTTAATTTCTTTATAAGGTATATGTAAAAATTAGTCTTTTTTCGTCTGTTACAGCATCGATACACAGACATTTTAAGTACAGCAGCTTCAGTCAAAGCAATACCTGGCTCCAGTTTAACCTGAAGCTTGCTGACCGGGTTGTCTTCTCCAAGGAGCTTCATCTGTCTGTGGAGAGCATCAAGGCGGAATGCAGTTTCCAAACATGTGAAGGCAGCTCCTACCCCAGAAAGAAACTTATTAGTTGTGGGAAAATAACTAGCAAAACCTGACCTGTGCAGAACTAGCACAGGTATACAAAATAAAAGGTACTGAAAAGGTAAAAGACACAATAGCAAGACAGAATCACAGTAATATAATGACAGAGAAACTTGAGTGCAAAAAAAAATCCTTGCAATGAAAGTCAGAACCTAAACCAGTGCATTTACTCACTCTGATTATGCAGCAGGCTGAACTGAAAAACAAAGTAGCATGAAAACTACGCTAAAGTTTACATCCTTGACATCATCTTATCAGCTCTTGCAAGATAAGCAAAGCAGCATTGGAATATCATACAGGTAACTTTCAAAGAGCAATCAAGTGCTACAAAAAAGCAGTATCACTGGTAGAACAGTAGACACAATTCCATATTGAGTGCCAAGATACTACTAAGAAAATGTCACCTCTTGTGAAAACAGAGAAGGATTAGATTTAGTTGGTGTATTACAGATCTAGTGGACCTTTTCTAAGCAGTATCTAGCATCCCACCTATGTTGTATCACACAGTTTTCACCTTTTGCCCATGAGGACTTCATTAGAGCTGCGACTGGGTAGGCTACTCTTTCTCTTCTAACTGCAGTGTAGAACATCCCATGCTTTCAAGCCAAACTAGCTGTATTACACTGGCAAGTCAAAAGATCTCTCCTATGCCCTTGCACACGTAAGCAGCTTCAGAAATGGATTTTCAGATTCAGAAGATACTTAATATCCAGCACTATTAACACTTTAACTTTCTTTGCTACGTTTTCAACCACAGGGCTTGTTACATAGATAAAATCTCAGAGTCTTGCTGTGCATACACAGGAACCCGATACAAGGAAAATGAGAATTAAGAAACGGGATGTATTTGGGACATAGAACCTGTACTGGCAGAGGAAGAGGCAGATGTGCTTTAGAGGGGAAAGCAAGAACCAGGATAGCTAGTGTTAAGGGCAATTATTTCAAGCTACAGGGAGGAGGATTAAGCAAGATCCAAGAGGTGTGGTAGTGAGTGGACTCCAATTTCTGTAAACAATGTCACTACAAAGATGCCTTTTTATTAACAGCAGAAGATACTCCAGAAATGACGTCAGAAATGGCAAGATTTAGATCAGAGGTTTGTCTTAGAAACAAAATGCAATGTAAAAAGAGCTTACTAAAGAATGGGACAGGGAAAGGCATTTCTTAGTTTCCTGAACAATTGCTTCTTGAAACAACCAGTTCTAAATTTCAAGAGAATAGACCAAAATCAGCAAGGATCTTGTCCTATATCAGACAGACAGACTAAGATGGGATAGAGAACAGGTCAGTATCTTCTGACCTATTCATATCATTGCCATATATAAGACAATGTGACTTAAGAATTACTCAACATAAAACAGCTTTCAAAGTTATATAATAAACATTGTAACATCTCCATATATGTTCACAGCACTTCCTTCCCTAAACTTCATTATCATCAGCTCATCCCCAAAAACAATATACATGAATAAAAACAAAGGCATCCTTCTAAACACTCTCGCTGCCAAGATTTCCAGGAATTTTTCCAAGACTGTTTACAGCAGATGCGTGAGAATATACACGGTACAGGCTTTTAAGAACATAACAGGACAAACTAGAGAAGTGTATGTTCCCATTATTCACTTCAGTAAAAGTCCAATTAAACTGAAAAGCAATAGGAATGATCTACCACTTACATATTCTAAAGACAGTACCATACAATTGACCTGTGGAATTCACTGACATAAGCAAAGGCAGGGCTGCACAATTCTACAGGAAGCCTCCAGTAGATAAACAGACAGCTACATAGACATGTACTTCTTTTTTTCCTCTGAGTGCTATGGCCATCATTCTTTCCAGCAGTAGGTAGCTTCTAACAGATCAGGATTAGAAAGACAGTTGTTCAGAGGATAGTTACTTCACAGTGTAACCATGATAAGATTTCTTACATGTTTCTCTGAAGCATCCTCTTCTCACATTGCCCTGACATATGAACACCTGCCCAGTTCCCAACAGTAGTTCCAAAGCTCCTACAAACATCCTTACAACGCTGTGCTAACACACCTCACTCAAAGCCCCTGTTACAGTATGAAGGTATCGATTCCACCCAAAGCCAAGATGCCAGACTCTAAGCATCTAAGATGTTCAATGCAAAGTTTGGTGATGGGTGTATTCCAGAAATAAAAAAAAGAAAAAGAGCTCTCTGCACACTTTTGAGCTTCCAAGGCAAATATTCTATGCAGCCAACTCTTGATCACTGGTTAGACATAGCATAAAGAGAAACATTACTGCATCTATACCATAGGTCTCAGTGGTGATCCGGCGCTGTGCATACGTGGCTAGCCCCTCGCTCAGCCACATCTCCTCCCATGTAGCATTGGTGACTGCATTTCCAAACCAGCTGTGGGCAACTTCATGAATGACGTCAATGATCAAAAACTCATCGCTCTCCAGAATGGAAGAGATAATGAAGGTCAGGCATGGGTTTTCCATGGCAACAATAGGGAAGGATGGAGGAAGAAAAACAATGTCATATCTAAAATTAGGGAGAGAGAAGAAAGAGAGGAGAAAGGAGATAGGTAAAATACAGCTATTTCAAAAGACACAGTAATTTTTTGTTGTTTTTAGGGAAGACTCTTCTGAGACTTTTGTGTGACTTCGGGAACAAACTTTCTAGACCAGTGGTGTCTAATTCTTCTGATCATGATATCACAGAGTTTATTCTGTTGGCCAAGGACCTGCTCACATTTGGACATAAAGACTAGACAGTGTTTTCATGTGCAACAGATCCAGTACTTCCCAGAAGCATCATGCTTCCTTCACAGCCACAAGCTCATCACAGGTCGTGTATCAGAGCCAGAAGCACTCAGTTTACATACGCTACCACGTACACAGTGTTGAGTCACCAGAGGCTCCCAGGAAAAAGAGAGGCTGGGAAGCTGTCCAATGATTGATTTGATGTACCTGCAGCGTCAGCAAAATTACTCTAGTCTGTCTGCTTCAGAACGTAACAATACTATTTGTTTTGTTTTCTAAATTTCTCCACCAATGATCAGCACTGGTACACTGGGCTGTGTTATCAGATTATTTCAAGCAACATTTTGTAAGTTAACAACACCACACTCTTCCTGCTTACCTTTAGCAAAGAAACATAGGAAAACTTTGTAAACATTTTCTCCCATCTAAAGAATGAAAACATTCTCTCAAAAACATTCTCTTTTAATATATAGTCAGGCTTAACTTCAGAAACCATTAATGTTGGTTTCAGGGACTAGGACTCTCACTGAGTCTGTACTGAGTCATGTTTTCAGCATCCTCAGGCATAGCACAGTAAATATATCATATGTCAAGTACCATATGTAAAAATAAGTAAGATAAATAAAAAAACCTGCCATACATTTTATATGGTGTCCGGCCCAATGTTGGACTTGCATCACAAAACACTGTAGTATGAAAAACCTTCACTCCTCAAGGAAGATCCACTGTTTAGAAACCTCCAGTTCTGCCCACCGTACCAGGCAAAACACCACCATGACTCCATGGTCCCCTCTGCCATTTGCAGAGACAAAACTCCAGAGTTTGTTTCCAACTACTACAGTACTGCCACTTGAGAGGCTCATTTGTCCTGCTATTGGTAGCACAGGGAGAAAGCATGATAATTTCTCAAGGTTGTTTTATTTTGTTCACATTACACATTCCTGAGAGACTTATTAAACCCACCTTCCCCATATATATGGGCCATACAGACTCTCTGCAGCTGTCAACCAGTGTTCAACAATGCCAGAAAGCTTGCTGATGGCTGTTGGCAGCAGGCAAGGCTCTGCCCACACTCTGCTCCTGTCAGGAAACAGAAAACATCAGGTGATACTTCAGCAAACTGAATTATCTCTTAGAAAAAATAGCCTGACTTCTTATCACACTTCCATGTATGGTAATAGCACTAAGAGGTCTCACATCAGACTCATGCCTTCTTTAGGCTAATATGGATGCATGGAAACAGATAATCAAAGATCCCTGAAATAAGGCAATGAGCCAAGTAGCTGTAATGACTACAGGGGACAATAAGCAACATTCATGAAAGAGGAAAATATCTTTGCCAGTGCAGTGCCATGAATTTCTTTACACCCAACTAAACCTCAAGCTCTCTAAACGCTCAGAGCTCATGGTCCCAACTGCTCCCTTATCAATGACTCGACATATTTACTACTTATAACATGAGGCACTGTACAGAGACACAAAAAGCAGAATCAACTCACTGCAAATCTTACCTTGGACCTATGTCTGCATGTATAAGGTCTCCTGCCACCAGGGCCACTAGGTAGGCAGGAACTGGATACTCCATGTAGAATTGATATACACCTTCCTCTTCTAAGTAGCTACTTTGGGTGGCACTCATCAACACCTGTATGCCTGCTGGAGCCTGGAAGACCAACATCATACACATCATCTCACTACATAATCACAGCTGAATGACTATACCACAGAGACCTCTGGGTCTTTTCATCTATGCCTGAGGATGGACATTAAAACCAACCATTTTGATAGCACAAAATATAAGATCTCTGTGACGTTTTTATACCACAGTCTACCCAGCCTGTGAAAATATACCAACCAAAAACATTACTCCTCTTATACTGCCTGGGTTCTTATGCCAGCTGCCCCAAAAGTACCCACATATCAAATTATTTCATCTACACAAAATAAAACATTATTTGATCCTGCTTTCATAAAACTTGGGATTTTCTCCTTTCAAGAAATGATAAAAGTATCATCATTGATGAGTATTATCATCAATAACCACTACTGCAAGTGACAGCCAAATCCTCTCTTTCATATTATCCGCTTCACGGTTACTCTTTCAGTGTTGAGTACAGGGAAGGCAAGACTCAAGTGTGACAGGCAACAGAGTTGCCTTTGTGGCAGTACCCTGATTCTGGCCCAAGAACCAGAATGGGATCTAAAAAAATCCAGTGTTTTTTGTAACACTAAATGTCACAATTAATATTTTATATCATATGTACATACACAATGTAACTATGGTTTCACAAGTTAAAAGAGCAGCTGAGTGCTCCGTGAACCATTTATAGCCACTCGGTCACTTACCTTGACAGTAGCTGAATAGGTACATTTCACTGCTGGTGTGTCAAAGCAGGGGAAGAAGGACCGGTTACACACTGAGTGGCCCTGCGTGAAGACAAATGGCTTGGCATTGCCATACGTCAGTTCGGGATCCAGCCACCAGATCTGTTGAAACATGATGTTGAAGAGGTGAGGGAAAGGGACAAAATCATAAGGATGAACTGCCAAATAACAAAACCTGAAATCAACAGGATTGTAGGGGGTGAGCTCAGCTGCTTGGCTCCCCAAATGTGCCTGGCACAGGGCACATTTGCATTTTTAACAACACATCTTTCTACTCCTGTTTATAATTTCTTACTGTCTGAACACCGAGTAGTGCCACATAACACAGTGTCTTCTAGCCACTCACTATTTCTGTTGTATCAATTTGCTTGGTCAATAACAAGTCCCTAACAAACATTCACACAACCTTCTTTTCTCAGAGGGAGTAGTCTGAGTATCTTAATGATTTTAATTCAACATGAACAGGAGTAGTAGGGGTCAGGTAACACAACCTGATTAAAAACAAAACAAAACAAACCCAAACCCACAAACCAAAGAACCCTGAGGCTGAACAATGTACACAACATTACCTCTGACCCTGACACTGCCCTGCTGGCTGAAGCATCAAACACTTTGACGCTACACAAAAAAGTCAGTATATGTAAGAAACATCTGGTCAATGACACTGGAGGCCTCTTTTTACAGAGCGGATAAGGAGATTCTGGGTGGTCACAAAAAAAAAAAAAAACAACCAACAAACAAACAACAAAAAAACACCACTAAGCATGTCAATTTTCAGTATCAAACAGCAAATAAATCATGAGTCAGACCCTCAGCAGATAATTAGAGCAGATTAAGAATAATATTAAAAAGTGCAGTTATTTGCCTTTTTTTTTTTTCCTGTTTCAATGTAATGTTTATGCTTTCACATGCTCCCTGCCTCCAACTTTGAAGTGTAGGAACAATTTTGAATAAGGATTTTCTTGTAATCCTTGAATGCTGGAGCTGAACTTTTACGGAAAATATCAAATATTGTGAAACTTGCAATAAAGTTGGAACCACTGGAAGTCTTGGGAACAGCCAAGCACAAGGAATAAAACTTTTGAGTCTGCTGAATTCTTAGATCAAAGTAACCAATAAATCTGAATTCAGGGAATAGCAGTTAGTACAGACACCAGTTCAGTTCTGGTCCTGAAGAGAAAGCAATGAAATACTTGCAGAAGAGAAGCCTGGGTCCTATGTCGGCTCTCATTTTAACAATTACATTTCTGCCTCCTAGTTAACCTTTCTGTGTTCTGGAAGTCAGTTCTCTCTCTCTCCCTCTGTCCTATGAAGTCACTCTTTGTTACCGTCTTCCCTTGCCTTTAGACCCTTTTCCTCAGACGCCAGTGTGCTCCTCTCCCAAATCATCCACTCCAGCAGCACCCCTGGGGATCAGTGAAAGGTAAGGAAAGGAAACATACTGCCAGCAGCTTTCAGTTACTCATGTAGAGGTTCACACTTCCACTGGCAAATGTTTTGGGTTTTTTTTTTTAGGTGGGAGGCATTACAAAATTAAAAACAATTATCGAGACGTAAAATTAATCTCAGAGCACTGTTATTATCTTGAAATTTGTTTTAAGATTATCCTCTTCTTTTTTAAGCCTGTTGGGCCAGAAACATGCTTAAAGCATGACTTCTGACAAACCCTGCCTCACTTACACCATGAGGGCCAAGACTACGCATCTATTCAAATCCACGTGCCGCATTTCAGCATACCACTGGCCAAATCCATAGGTCACAACTGAGGTGTGCTACACAGATACACATTTCCACTCCACAGATACCTACATTTCACGGCAATGCACACTGTCTCCGCAATGTGACATTGTGGAACTGGAGACAACTATTCCAGAAGGCATTTGGGGACACGTCTCATTAAAACCCACAGTCTGAAACTAAATAGCTTCTGCCCAGAACACATATTCACATAAAAATTCAAGTTCTATGTTTTAATCCAGGGTAGTAGCTTTCTAATGATCCAGGAAAAAGGCACAGAAATTAAGTTTTTAAATATCTGCCCCAATGACAACTTTCAAAAACACTCCTCTGAAGAGACTTTGTGCCCGGATCACAAAATCTGACTTACGATCTGTTGCTGTTAGACCCTGATGAAGGGATTCACCCTCAAAAGGTTCTGTTTCCTTTGCTTTTGGAGAGGCAGAAAAGGCTAACAAAGAAAACAGATAAGACACCACCAGACCTAAGTTGCAACACTAGAGTAGGAAGGAAAAAGGGTTGACAGACAATGTCTTTAGAGCTGAGAGATAAGGGGAAGTTCTCCCTGACCAGCGCAGGAAGAAAACATAAGCAGGAAGCAAAGGGGAACTGAGAAGCTGACTCTTGTTTACAAAAAGCTCCATAAATTAAGGACAATTTCTTTTCAGCCAATCCCCTAAATTTGACATTTGGTTGAAGTTAAATGAAGCACCAACCCCACAAGCCAAGAGGGAAAACATTTGCAGAGGATGAAGTATTTTTTTCCCCTATTTCCTAATGTCTGCAGCTACATGCAAGCCTCTGTGTCTCTTTCCAGATGCACTTGGAACAATGATGAAAGTTATCCTGAAACAATATAAATAGATCTGTAATATAAATAACCAGTCTATGCTGTTGGACAGAGGCAGGACTATGGACTGGGGAAAACAAGTATAAGTAGCATCCCAGAAAGGAGTGCAAGAAGCAGGGTACTGCTGGGGAGGAGTGTGGAGCAGTACACAGGGACAGAGCAGTGTTTGGGGCCATATCATCTACCCTACATCCAAATCCATCCTGTGCTCCTCTTTGGAAGTACATGTGACATCATTGTAATGCTCATCATTTTTATCCAGTTTTCCATGTATACAGGAGAACTGTTTCATGATGCATTTCAAGTAAAGAGATCTGCTGCTTAGTTCCTCTGCTGAACAGAGGCCTTGGGCAGCCCATGTTTCCCCCTGCCCACATACTACAAAGAAGCTTACACTTTATAAGGCACCTGCCAAAAGTATAATTTTTATTGTTTTAATTTATAATCTTTTACCCAAGTGCAGCAAACGACAAAGGCAGTTAGCTAAACCTTTTCCAATTTTAAATCTCTCCATGTTTCTACCTGCATTATTGATGAAGCTCCCAAGAGCTCCAACACCACAGCTTCTGTTCTAGACAAACAACAAACCACTCCATCTGATGACAAGGTAAACCACACGTCTGAGATGGAGAGGATGTGACAGGCGCAAGGCACACCTGGAAAGCAAGTCACCCCAGGAGGACTGAGGAATCAGGACAAATGTAATGGAACGATGGGGAAGTTTCCAGCACTGCAAAAAGGGCTGTTCTTTTTGCTAAATCCTGAAGATGAGGAAATGCTATCATTTTTTGTACCAGAACACAGAGAATGGTTTGCCTTTAAGGCTGTCATGGAAAGAAAATAGCACTGGTGTTAACATGTGCGTTGCCAAATCAGAGGTGGGACACAGTGGGCAAGAGACAGATGGAAATTTTTCTCTCCAAGGAAGACAAAAACCCCTCCAAATCTTATGAAAGACTATTTGTAGGACCAAGGAGTAAGGGTTGAGGGAAAGGAAGGGGAGGAAGAGTGGAACTACTGTCACTGACACACCTGATCGGTCTGTGCCTTCAGCCCACACCATGAGAGATATACAATGTTTATGACAGTCTTGCTTCTGATGCAAACTGATGATGCACAGAGCATATGGTTTCCTAACAGCACAGGGAGCTGGAATGCTCTGTGAAAGGCAGATTTAATCTCTCAGCTGTCTCTCAATGTCCATCAAGCAACCAAAGATCTTGGCTCCTTCCTCCACACGAGAAATAATGGGACAGTCAAATAACATATCCAGATGGCTCCAACCAAGTATGTCAAGGCAACAGGTTTCCAATTTTAAACAGACTATTGCCGCTGCTGATCTCACTGCCAATGCCAACACATCCATGCTGCATTGTAGCATGAATTTACTGGTTTATAGGTCCTACAGAAAATAAACCCTGACCTAAAAATATTATATTCAGAGAAAGGTCAAAGAAAATAGAACTTTTAGAAGAAGAGATCTGACACTGTAAATTGCTTCACTTACACAGAGAAAACGGGCTGTGAGAAAATGTACTAGACCCTAGTATAAACCCGTTCACCCTTATACACATATGGGTTACTCATCCCTATTAAAATGCAACGCTAAGCTGAAAAACAGCAATGACAGATAGCACTACAATAGCATGAAGTGACTTTGGATCCAAAAAAAAAAATAGTTTGGCATGCTGAACATGAAGGGCTAGAACAGGTGCTACTTGAGGACAAATATTTTGCCAGCCAAAATCTACAATAGTGAGTGAGGAAACGTGGTAGGATTTATGTCAGTGAGCATGCCTGCTTCTACTTTTCAGTATCACTTGAAAAGGGCAGTGCATGCCCCTGACACTGTAACCATCAATAATCTTTTGACACTAGCCCTTGCAGCTTCATTTCAACTGAAGCAGTACAGGCCATTAAAGGTACAATAAAGACTGCAAAAGGCAGGATGAAGAAGAGCTAGTTCATGTCTGATCCAGGGGAAACAAGACAAACAACAGAGGGAGGTGAAGAAATGCCCTACTCTCAGCCTCCTCAAATATGTAACATTGAGGCTGGGTTGTGTGCGGGGCCAAGGAGGCAACATGTTAATGCAAGGTGAGACACTAAATGAACATCACATCAATCAGTGCTCTGAGCCTTCCAGAGGTTTTCAGATCATTTCTAATGCCAAGTCTCAGATCAGTATTCCGTTACATCTCAGATCATTTCTTCACAGACACAGCAGGACAGCCTGCCGCTGCAGCAACAGGGCTAGCAAAACCTCAGAGAAAGTACAGGCTAACCCAGAAATAAAACAATTTGTTCAAGAGGAGGAATGTATGTTACTGTGTACTTCTGGAAGCATGGCTCAGCCAGACTGAGAATGATTACAGAGCACACAGCAACACCAAATTAGCTATAAAGTCTTCCCACCATAAACAGGGCATAGAGTAGACAAAAGAAACAGGTTTCTTCATCAAATCTTGAAATAAAATATAAAGAACAGAATCTACTGGACGCACTGTGGGCCCTGAAAGACATCTCCCACGCACCTCCTCAGTGCAGAAAAAACTTCAGCAGAGTATTGTACAAGGAAACATTAAGACTGAAAGTTCCAGAGGATAAAAGGAACAATATCCTCACTTACAAGTGGATGTGAATTTTAATTTCACCTCATTTTTGAACTTTTAGGGAATGACCATAACGTTAAAAGGTCACCATATAACAAAAGGAAACATCTGTCAATAAAAATCTTCATGTGAAACTCACTACTCCAAGTGAGCAAACATATTAAGACTATCCAGATCATTCTAAGGATGAAGTTACTTTTGTCAGTTTCAATGTAATATTAAAATTAGACAGAAAAAGATCCAGCAAACTTCTTCCATTCAGCAACGCTTTCCTTACATAAGGAAAGGCCTAATACACACTTGCTATTGGGTTATTTTGCATACAACCGTTATGTTGGGTTCCTGCTCTTGCTAAATACATTGTAATAGTCAAACAGATCCACACATTCGCTGGTTTTGATCAATGCAATGGCAATGCCAAACCAGCAGGCTGAGAGTCAATTCCACTAGGAAAGGCAAAAGCATCAAAGTCACAAGACTCTCAAAAAACCCCATTCCTTTTGCATATAGAATCATGAAACACATGATTGATATATCAGTTTAACTCCCAAACCAAATAGACTATACAGTAACAAAAAGAACTGATGTTCAAGTTGATAACTTTGTATTTTCACTGTCATCACTTCTTAAAAACACAGATTTCTGCTAGAAAGCACCTAAAAGGCCAGGAAGAAAGTGCTTCTAAATACCAGGGGTTTAAAAGAAGTGACAGAATTTACAGAGCATCTCCCTACTGAAGAAGGCTCATCCACACAGACACGGAAGCACCTCCCATGGCCACACTGAAATGGGGTGTTTTAGGCCATTTCTTATCCTTCTTTTCCAACAGGTAACTTGTCGGAGTGTGTGGAATCTCCCCCAGCTCTTCTCAAAGCTCCTGACCATGGCTTGTCAGAACGTCAACCTAGGTGCGCAAGGCCCGATTTTGTAAGCACCTGGCAAAACCCACGGGGAAACTCCTGTATTTGTGGATTTCGTAACTTGTCCTGAAGAGTTCTGTCAAGGCAGGAGTTTTCAAATTTTCACGCTCCTCGCCAACAACTGCAATGCCCTTAAAGGACGAAAAAACTTTAAATTTACTACTGTGATGGGGGATGAAGAGACTTGGGGGCCACGGCAATGGGGGAAGGAAGGAGGGAAGGAAGGAAGGAGGGAAGGAGGGAAGGAGGGAAGGAGGGAAGGAGGGAAGGAGGGAAGGAGGGAAGGAGGGAAGGAGGGAAGGAGGGAAGGAGGGAAGGAGGGAAGGAGGGAAGGAGGGAAGGAGGGAAGGAGGGAAGGAGGGAAGGAGGGAAGGAGGGAAGGCTGGGTTGGTTCGAGCATCACTGCTGAGCATGACATGGGAGCGGGCAGGGGACTGGCATTGCCGAGTGCTCCTGTGGGCAGGGGACAGATGCTGCTGACAGGCGGCTGTCAGGCAGAAAGGGAAGAGGCAGCGGAGGGACGGGGACGTAAAAGGAGGAGCTGACAGCGAAATACCTTCCCCGCCGGGGTGCTTCCCTGGTGGTCAACTACAGCAGGAGAAAAAAATGCGAGAAAGGCGCGGGAGGGCACCGCCAGCCGCCCCGGGACTAGCTTTCCTATTTTCTCTCCCCAGGCCCGCCCCACCACCCTCCCCGTACTCACGGCGGGGCCGTCGGCCGTGGTGTAGCGGACGATGATCTGGAAGGGCTGGTGCGGCTGGAGGGCGGCGGGCAGGGAGACGGTGAGGGACGAGCCGTAGTCGGTGAAGGGATCCACCCGGAAACCGAGCGGGCAGGCGGCGCAGGGCGGCTGAGCGAAGAGGGGCAGCGGCGGCGGCGGCTCGGAGGCGGCGGCGGCGGCGGGCGGGGGGCTGGCGGGCGGCTCCGGCGGGGGGGCGGCGGGCAGCGGGCCGGCGGCGATGCAGGGCGCCGAGAGGAAGGTGGCGGTGGCGGGCGGGCTGGCAGCGCAGGGCGGCGCGCAGGGCGGCGGCGGCGGCGGCGACGGGCAGGGCGGCGGGGGCAGCGGGGCCGGGGCGGCCGGCTCGGCAGGCGAGAAGGCGAAGGAGCAGGGCGCTTCCCCCGCCGCGGCCCGGCGGTAAGCGGCCGAGAGGACGCGCAGGGCCGGGTGAACGTCCAGCACCAGGGCGCGGGGCTGCGGCCGCAGGGCGCAGAGCTCCAGCACCAGGCAGCCCGCCAGCGCCCGCGCCTCGGGCCGCAGCTCCAGCCCCAGGTGCAGGTGGCGGAGGCTGAAGAGCTGCGAGCTGGAGGCCGAAGCGACGTCCGGCGGCGGCTCGGGAGGCGGCGGCGGGGCCGGCGGCGCCTCCGGCCCGGCCGCGGACCCTTTGCGGCAGCAGCACAGGCCGGGCGGCCGCGGAGCCGGGGCCGCCATGGAGCGGCGGAGGAGGAGGAGGAGGAGGAGGAGGCGACGGAGGCGGCGGCTGCTATGTGAAATCCATGGGCGGGCGGGGAGGAGGGGAGGCCCCGGCGGCCGGAGCGACCGGGGCGGGGAAGGGGGGGGGGGGGGGGGGGGGGGGGCGGGAAAGGGCCGCGCAGGCCCCGCGCGGCACCGGCCGAGGGAGCGCAGGGCCCGGCTTCAGAACGGGCGGCACGGCCGCCAGGGGGCGCCGCGCGGGTGTGTGGGGGGGGGGGGGGGCGCGCGAGGGCAACCCCGCCCCGCCCCTCGCGCTGAAGCTGCGCGCGCACGGCCCCGGCCCCGGCCCCGGCTGAGGGTGCACGCGGCGCCTCCGTGTCCCGTCGTGTCCGTCCCCCCCCCCCCCACGCCCCGCGTGGACACCCACAGCCCACACACACACACCCCCACAGTTAACACGGCAGCTTAAAACGTGCACGCCCACCCGCAAGGATACCCCCGGAGCTTTCCCCGTGGGCCGTCCCCGCGGCCCCGCTGCCGCCCCACAGCCTCTCTGCTTCATTTCTCACCTTGCCCCCCCCCCCCCCAAGACAAACAGCCCCAAACCCTTCCCGCCACGGGTGGCAGCAGGGCTGTGGCACGCACCCTCATCCCACTGGGACCGATTTTGGCTTCCTCCGTCCTGATCCTGGTCACACTCACCGCGTGTGGCTCACGGTCTAACCCTAAACAGCCTCCCTCTACCAGCACCCCCTAAACCCCCTTTTTTTAATCTCTTCCCTCCCACTTTGGCTGCCCGCAGTTGCCCACCTCCAACGCTCTCTCCAAACTGCCCCTAGATCCCAGCTCAGATGTAACGTGCTTTACTCAAGGCAATCAATCACACACCATCCACCACCGCCTTCCTACATCGGAAAGGACAGAAACCACAAAGTTATCATGTTTATATAACCGCTTGCTTCTGTGCACAGCAGCAGTTGGGGACTGTAAGACAGAAGGAAGGAGGTGTGCTGGAAGTAACCGTGATTGGAACTCCACACAGCCCAAGAGCCGCGTACAGGAAATCTCTCTGCCCCATGGAATCTGTCAGTTATTTTCGCTGCTACACTTTGCCTACCTCAGGCACCTGATGAGTCTCCGAGGCACATCTTTTGGATGACACGGGAACATTTATTACATGGCTGTGGGTTTAATGAACACAGAGTGGTACACCCTAAAAGCCTCCCAAGCCCCACACTAGAGACAGCGGCACCCACACCAAGTTCCAATCAAGTTTCCGCTCTATTGTCACGCTCGAAGCAGAAACTGTGTTCCCAGCACAGTTCGGCTGCTGTCACCAGCTGAACCAAGGGTAAACCAAATCACAGTATTACCTTAGACCAACCCGAACCTGGGACTATAAAGAAAACCTCTGTGTGATTGCTTATATATAGTAAAACACACACTACTGTTGCAGTAAAAAGTAAGAGGGCAGCATTCAGGAAAGCTCTTTGATTGATGAGGGCATTACAGCCACCCTCCATCTTCTCAGTAAGTTATTTTGAAGCACCTTCAAGAAGAAATTTTGTCTTCGCCCAATCCCCTTCTAAGAGAAACTTTTTGTTCTGACACCTTTCCTCTCCACATCCTCTTTTTATAAAACAAATTTTCTGTATTTATCCTTTCTTTCTGATACCTTCTCTCACTCATACCATTTGCCTTTTGAAATATTTGAAATAATTGTGCTTCCTCAAGCTTTGTTCCCAGCAATGTACTAAGACTGCTCAATCTCCCTCTGGATTTCATCTAGGGGTAATCTGCAGACCATAGCCCCAGCAACCTCAGGATCTGACCCTGTATGATCTTCACCACAGGTAATGGGGAAGTCTCAGGTGTTCAAGCTAGCACAGTTTCAGGGCCTGACTTTGGACTTAATTCCATCAATCTAACTGCACATCAACTCCATTGGGTAATTTTAGAAGAATCCTACCCGTGTTTTGATTGAAGTCCAAAGCAAATACAACATTTCCATTCATCAGATAGCTGAGATGAGCAGGAATACAATCTCTCTAAGACTCTCTAAATTTAAAATAATGAATTGGGATTGGCTGCTCTCACTGCATTTGTACAGAATAAGTAAAAATGATACAACTGAAATTCCTGAGGGTAATACAGCGAATCAGTTATCTCAGGCAAATCTCTCTCAAGTTGCACACCTGTTGGTCTTGGGCCCCAGCCCTTGCTGTATACTAAGAAGGATGTGTTATCTCCATGCTATTTTGGGTAGGATCTCTTTAAGAAAAGCCTCTGTCTCAATCCCACAGTCTTACTCTGCTCCTCGCAGGATGAAGTCTTCTCTGGGATGTCACACTATAAAATCTAAAGCAGGATCCAATTCCTGAAAATTCCCATCATCATCATCATCAAGCTCTTGTAGAATACTTCAAAGATACAGATATTTCAGTCTCACTTATAAATATCAATGTTTTTCCTTCCATTTCAGTGACAGGGCCCTGGGCCAGGCCTCAGCTTGCTCCTGTGGTTCAGGATGAAAGCCAACAAAAAAAATTACTACTAGCCATGTAAGAAGCAATACTTCTGTACTGTCTGCCAGACAAGTGCCAAATGAAGCAGGTAAGTGATTACAGCAGAAAGAACGTTTCCCTCTGGCAGTCTGCTTCCTTGATTCCAAAGTAACAATGCTGGAGCTAAGGTTTGACAAAATGGTTGAGCTAATCCCTGCTGTCCACAGATGACTGTTCACCTGCTCCATCACAGGCACTTGTTTGACACCTCCTTGAGCTATTTCAGCTCGCTGAAGCAGCAGGGAAGTATTCACTTTTATTAGGAGAGTGTAACTGGGAAGCAGCAGTTTGGTACAATGAATCCCAAGCGTAGTTTCCTCTCATACCTATGCTAGTGTTACAGTTAGCACCTACTGAAAAACGCAGCCCCACTTCACCTCCCTTCCAGGTGTGCCTTCCTGTCTCCTTCTTTGTACAGCATTCCTGCTTTTGGAGGGTGAACTTTCTGCAAGTTAGCTTTCTGAACCGGGTCACTGCTGGACCAGGCAAGAGCCAGTGCTGGCATCGGGAAAGTGGAAGGAACTCCCATCCTGGAAGAAGAAGGAGGACAAGATCAGGATGGCTCCCCTTTTGCCCAGACTGCCATTAGCTCAGCCCTCGCTGCAAAACAAAGCCACACTGACCCCAGTGGCACTTGAGAACTAGGTACATTAGCCCTTTTCCTTCAAGGAAAATACTGAAGTTTCTGGGGTAAACTCAGTTCTGCAGGGCCCAAGACAATCCTGTCCTTGACGGAGTTGCATGTGACAACTGACTAAACTGTTTTAACCACTTCACTGTCTTAGGCAGATGCATTTCATGTTCTCTCCCCTTAAGGTATTCAGCCTTCATCTTCATGTTCGACCCAGCTCTACTTTTAGGGAAGAAGCAAGTCATTACCTCTTTGGCCTATCACCCCTGCTCCCTCTTGCCTCTCCCCAGTTTCTTTTTGTCCTCAAGTTTCTGATGAAAAAAGACCCCCCTGCTTAGCAGGGTGTTCTTTGGAGAGAGGCCTATTACTTCTCCCTTTCCTCACCACAGTTTACAGTTGAATTAAGTAAAACTGAGCAAAATGGTGGCCAGTCACTGACATAGAGTAAGCTTGGGTCCAGGCCTGCAAGCAGGTTAAGATCTGTGCTAGGTAATTCTTGTGTCGGACAAGGCTTACTAAGGAACTACAACAAATGACACTTTTTGTGCTATCTTCAAGCTGCAGTCTAAGCTGTGTTCATGCCATAATTTGCCTGTGGTATTGGTAGGTAGAAATGCTTGTTGCTGTAACTTTGCAGTCATGTCACGTTATAAACAGTAATGCCTGCAGGTAAAGAAAGTGGAAAAATCTGAGCCTAAGGAGGATCTTCTGTATTCTGTCTGAAACCCTCCTTGATACTTGGCTTGAATACTTGCACTATAAATTATTACTCCCTGTACTACTCAACATAAACATACATATATTGCAAGCCACCTCCATGCTGGAGGGCACAAAAATTACCCACTACACAAAGGAAACACTTCCACTCTGAAGGAAGAAAGATCAGGCCATGATGAATAGACAAGAAAAACAAAACAGCCTGCAATCACTGTCCCCCAGGGCTCAAAAAGGTGAGAAGTGATTTATGTGCCCAAAACAAACCACTTAAGCCAGTAAAATTTACAAAACCCAAAATAGTTTTATTTAATTTTCAGATTTCTGCCTCAGTGAGACATTTTGCAAACATGCTAAGGCTACAAAATGTCCAAGTTGACACAGACATGCAACGCTGACCATTCAATAAGTCACAGCTATTATAGGAGCGACTGTGCCCACCCGGGCCACAGGTCCCGTAAAACAGGGATGGTGTACAGTGATCATGGCAACATACTATGCAGGACCTAGTAACCTGAGGTAGGTCTCTTTACAGTAAGAAAACAATGTCCTACACCAGTGTTACATCCTGATCAACAGGAACCTGTTTAAAGTTCCAGAAGACATGGGGTGGGGGACTGCTTCCTTAACAAGTGTGCAATAAAGAAACAGGAAATATTGATGTTGTTTAACCTTAGTATAAGTGAGCAGAACAAAGAGTTAGTGTTACCCATGCCAATGACAGCCAACCTAAACCTCTGAGGAGTGTTAGCAGCTTCAAGATAAAGGACTCAGTCAGCTGAAGCAACTCTGAAAAGGCTTTCCTGCTAGCATACAGGGTATGACTTCAATCTCAGGATTAATTTGTTACAGATCATTCCACGAACAGTTAGATTTTGGTTGTGTTCAATCAGCAAAGCAGGAAGAGCTTGGGCTTGCTTGCATTAAAATAAACCCTGCTGATACAGTAAGAAATACTGTATCAGGACACTGAGAATATACGAGGCCTTAATGTGACCTAGAAGTGGTTCTCCACTCAGAAGATCACTAAAAACCCTGCTTTGGGGAAGCATCATGGGAAGCAGCAGCCGCTGCTGTGGTGAACAAAGCGATGCTCCAAATAGCTTTGATAAATTACAATGCAATAAGTACACCACAGAGCTCTTCTCCCCTGCGCTAGACAACAAAGATGTGACAATAAAGGACACTATTGCAAAGCTTCACTCCACCCAGACACGCAGAAAATCCGGCACTAGGAAAAGACCAACTGTAAAAGACAAAATAGTGTCTGATACAGTCCGATAACAAAGCCAGATCTCTGGTACCATAAACTGTACAAAAATGATAGAAAAGAATATGCACTGTTATTAATACAGTGCTTATTTTAATATAAAATAAACAGCTTACATTTCCACTGTAAATATAGGCTATATACAGAATTATGTATAGATATAGCTACATGTATAAAGCTTCATTATAGGCCTCTGATACATTTATAACTATGGCTCCCTGAACCATCTGTAGAGTGCATTTAATAACAAAAAATTAGTAATATGATTATGGAATAAATACAATAATAAAAACGAACAATTCTTCTGACATGGTTTTAAAAACTCTGACTTGACACGTGGTGAAAATTAAAAGATGAAAAGGCAATAATCTGCTTGAAGGAGGAGGAGGAGGAGGAGCTGGCCTGCCACAGGCAGGGAGTGTAGCTCTCCAAAATTAAAGTGACTTTGCCCTGAATTTTAGCCCTTGACAGCAACCTTGTTCTCTGCAGCAGCAAACATAGCATAGAAGCGCGAGTTCTCATTGGCCAGAAGGGCAGATGGCGTGTCGAATTCCACTACCTGAAAGCAAACAAGGCAGTTAAAGTATGTCAGTAAAAACCAGCAGAAAATGGATTTCCACCCCTTGGACTTGCGACACCATAGCTAAGAAGCCACAACATGGCATTTCTCTTTAGGTAAGACAACAGGCGGTGAAAGTATGCATATTTATGTGTACGTACTGTAACCTGGGATGCTTCAAACCAGCTGAGACAAACACTGGTACTACACAGCAGGAAGCAACCTCTGGTGGCTCCAGCAAACAGAGGCAAATACAATGGGTTTTTGCCTTCTCTACCTTTAAAAGCCTTACCAAATGTTTTTACATTTGATTTAACTGTTTATGGCTCTCACATGGAAGCCTGAAAAGTGGGTAAAGTATCTCTCCTATGCTCTCATAGCAAAGGGCTTCGTGGAAGTAATGGGAAGCTGCCACTGAGCCCCAGCAGAGATGCTTACATTATTACCCATCTCAAAATTAACCTACAAAGGGAGTTTTAAATACGCTTTTAAAAGAGAGACTGTTACTCTATGGTACTTTCTTGGAGTGTAAAAGAAATTTTGCCTTCTTTGATCTTGTCACGGTCAGGCAATGACTGATTCTACTGAAGTATTATTACCAAGGATGTGAACGAACACAGGATTTTCTACCCTTTTCTACCCTGCAACACTACGTGTTCCTTCAGTTCAGGCTGTACATATGGCACCACCAGACTGCAACAGGAACTGCAGCCACAAAAGTCTTTCTGCTTACCTGTCCTTGTGTTAGCACCATGATCCGATCAGAGCCCAGTACCGTATGCAGGCGATGAGCAATTGTTAACATAGTGCAGTCTGCAAATGCCTCTCTGATAGTCTCCTGAATCAGTAAGTCTGTCTCTGTGTCCATAGCAGCTGTTGCTTCATCCAGTATCAAAATCTGAAAGCAGCACATAATCCTGGCTGTCACCCGTAGTAACACTTTCCCTCCCTGAACATAAAAATGAGTAGGCAGAACTGACCCACAGTTCCACAACCAGCAATCGTTACAGAGTTGTGGTCACAAAGGTAGTTTTTACAAGCACCCTTTCAGCCTTCTTCATGTAACTGCCTCCAACAAAGTTGCCCCATGGATCACATTTGTATTGTATGGTCACATTGCAGAGCCATGAGATGTTTGGGTTCTGATCTGGGCCTCAGGTTTCCACTATTTTCAATTTTACATTCAGCAGCTAAATCTCAAACACATATTTTACTACTAAACTAATCTGACACATCCTTAGGTGGTGACATTCCTTCTGGAAGGCGTCAATACTGACTAGGCTTACTAGCTTGCTTATGCTGGAAAGAATTACCGTTTCTCTCAGACTCAGACATAAATTGATTTGGAGTGGTGTCTTCTCAAAGCTAATCTAGGCTTGCTTTGTACAGGTATTACAGAGAGAGCAGTAACTTCTGCGAAGTAGCCTGGCTTTAAAACATATGCAGTGAAACTTAAAATACTATGGTGTGCCATGTTTAAGAAAAAGGGATGTTAAAAATCAGAATTCGTAGTCAATCTCAATCCAAAAATCCTTTCTCACTGTAATTATTAGTTGTCTTCCATTCCTGCAAAACCTTTAAATTCACTGGCATAGCATGGTCCCAAATTCCACTTGGAGCACCACGTAGAAGGAAAATATTTGGCTGACATTCACAAAAAGGTGGAAGAAGGAAAGAATCCGATGCTCATCAGTAACAGGACACTCTGAATCAGGCCAGTCTGACACACTGTTATTAACACTAGAAAGCAATACCTTTCCAATGGCAGGACATTACAGGAGCTAGCAGCTGGTTACAGATGCCTGCCTAGTTATTCTAAACCTACACACCTCTGGGTCACAATAACTTTTGCTGTGATTCCTCTGACAGAACGAATCTGGCACAGAAAGACTTGCTCAATCCTATCAGTTTGTTATCTCCAGCTATTTCTCTCATCACTAGGCTCACCTTGCAACGACGCAGTAGAGCTCTAGCTATGCACAGTAACTGTCTCTCTCCAACTGAAAAGTTTTCCCCATTTTCCATCACTTCTGAATCAAGTTTCATAGGCAGCTGGGCAACCTGTGTGGGAAGTAGAGGCAAAAATCTTAAAGCATTGCACAGACTTTTTGTATCTCCATGGCATGAGACAAACAGTTGCTCCTCCTGCAAATCTGATTTTGCCCATGTTCCAAAATATCCGTCACACTTTGATGTCTATCTTTCCCTGTCTCTGTTAGGGAAATAAGTAACAAGCAACTAATGCTAGAACAGGAATACAACATCAGACCTGCTCAGTCTGGTTAAAATGCCTGTGACTCAGTGATAGCTCCTGAGAACACCACTAGGACTAAGCTAAAGGAACTTTATCATCCCAGGAGGCAACCTTGGAATGAGTAAAGTACAAAGTATTCAATTTCTAGAAAAAAAAGTGCCATGTACAAAATCATGTCAACATGTATATAGATCTCTTGACAATCTTTCTCATCAAGACAAAAGAGCGAATCTAGTCCCTGCAGGAATTACTGCAGCCTATATACCAGAGCATACGTGCCACTTGACTTACAAGAAAAGAACTGGAAATGTCATGGCAGTGAAACTTGCTGTAGAGGGCCTCACAAAAGTCAGATTTTAAGTTCAGTATGAATGTGCATATGTGACATTTACACTCAAATGTAAATGCAGAATGTACACCTAAGGCACATAAAGAAAAATATCACTTGAAATATTGTAACACCCTAGGAGTCCATGTGATGAAGCAGCACTCTGCTATGCCATGTACTAAAAAAGTACACACCTGAAATATGGCACATTCTCAAAAAAAAAAAAAAAAAATCAGTCTGATAAAAATCAAGGGAAAAAAAATCAGTCAAATAAAGCATAGACAATGAGGGGAAAAAAACTGTAAAGAAAAAGCTTTCTCTAATGGTCATTGAAGTAGCTACTAACAGAACATGTTGGTTTGGAAGCCAAACCACAAACTTGTATCTCATAGGGCACATAATACTTACACACTCCTTCATGTGAGTCCTTTCCAAAGCATCCCAGATTTGTTCCTCGCTGTACTGATTGAACGGATCCAAGTTTGATCTGGAGGGGGAAATCACAAAAATCATAGAACCGTTTGAGTTGGAAGGGATCTTAAACATCATGTAGTTCCAACCCCCCCACCATGGGCAGGGACACCTTCCACCAGATCAGGTTGCTCAGAGCCCCGTCCAACCTGGCCTTGAACCCTTCCAGGGAGGGGGCAGCCACAACTGCTCTGGGCACCCTGTGCCAATGCCTCACCACCGTCACAATAAAGAATTTCTTCATTACATCTAATTTAAATCTTCCCTCTACCAGTTTAAAACTGTTACCCTTCATCCTATCCCTACACCCCCTGAGAGAGAGTCCCTCCCCAACTTTCCTGTAGCCCCCTTTAAGTACCAGAAGGCCACTATGAGGTCTCCCCAGAGCCTTCTCTTCTCCAGGATGAATAACCCCAACTCTCTCAGCCTGTCCTCACAGGGGACGTGCTCCAGCTCCCAATCATCTTTGTGGCTTTCTCTGGACCCACTCAAGCAGGTCTGTGTCCTTCTTATGTTGGGGGACCCAGA